CACTGTCAACCTTTTCAATCCCACCGCCTTTTCCAAAACTGACTTCACCTCGGGCCACACAGTGAAAGAGGCATATTCAACTTCGTCTTGTCTGTACGTCATTGGATCCTCTGGAGTCTCCACTACGGCCTTGACGTCGGGGTTGTAGAGCTTGGCCTCATACATCAAGAGCAGTGTTCTCAGCCAGAGCTGGCTGTCAGTGTCTGCCAACTGTTGCTCCATCATCGTGTTGGTATCCAGGCCAAACCTCTGTAAACCATGTCTCGATCTCACAGGCCGCGGTCCTCCATCAGACCGGTAACGTGCAGCTGATACTGTTCTGCACGGTGGGCCAGCGAGTACTGCAACCACTCGACCCGACCTCACAAACTGCAATAAAAAGTGCCAAACTGCTGAATCCAAAAGATCTTGTCCTCGAAGTAGATCCACGTTCACCACTTCGATGTCGTGTGGCATTCTCTTTGACCACCACGCTTGATCTGGACCTGAAAACAAATTCAGCACAATGCCCTTGGCCTTCTTGAAGCGTCGCCGTTGATGGCGATTCCATGGCAATCGAGCCTCATCACCAGCTTTGCTCACCATAGGTTGCAACAAATCCACAGGTGTTTCAGGAAACAACTTCTTGAGCTTGTCGGCCATGTCCTTGTCTTCCTGTTTCCAACCTGTGACTTCCAAACTTCGCAACATCAACTGCTTGTTCTTCTCAGCAGTTTCCAGCTCTCGAATGAGCTTCATCCCCACATCATTGGTCACGTAGGGACAATTGTCACGAACTGTAACTTTCACTTCACCCAGCTTGCCATGTGTGAGAGCGCACCCATCGCGATGCCACCTCATCTTGCATCCATGCTGAGTCAACATTCCCAAAGGCACAATTGGCTGCAGATCATCCTTTGTCAACAACGATCTGCTCATCTTTGACATCCTCAGCTGTGTTTTTCCAGTCGCTGTTTGTACCTCTGTTGGGATCGCCTGCATCCACTCAGTCTCATCATAGGGTCCTCTAAGGATATGCGTGGCCCCTGAGTCCAATAGCACACCCTGATTGCTGTCAGTCACCACCGCCAACACCCTTGGAGTCGTTGACGTTGTTCGCATTGTCTTCAAAAGACTGGCAACTTCACCCATGACTGAGGGCTGAACTTGTTGTTGTACTTGAGCAACTTGAGGCTGCTGTTGTACCTGAGCAACTTGAGGTTGCTGTTGCATCTGAGCAACTTGAGGTTGCTGTTGTATCTGGGCAACTTGAGGTTGCTGTTGTATCTGAGCAACTTGAGGTTGCTGTTGTATCTGCGCAACTTGAGGTTGCTGTTGTATCTGCGCAACTTGAGGTTGCTGTTGTATCTGCGCAACTTGAGGTTGCTGTTGTATCTGGGCAACTTGAGGCTGTGAATCCTTTGAAGACTGATCCACTCCCCCGACCGGCTTGTCCCGGTCCTTGCCTTTGCCCTTGTCGTTCTTGCCATCCTTTGTCTTTCCCTTGCCTTTAGGGCTTCCTTTGGAGCTTTTGTCGCCCGGACTTGTCGTAAGCTTGTCACCAGCAGTGCAGTCTTTGGCAATGTGTTCCAAACTGGAACACTTCCAGCATCTCTTCTCCTTGTCGTTGAGATTGTTCCACTCATGGGCATAGGTGCATTTGTCACCCTTGAGGCATCCTTGAGGTTTACCCCAATGCCTGCATGCTCCAGCTCCTGCACCATAACCATTGCCTTCTGCATTGTTGCCATAGCCTTTCTTACCAGGAGATCCCTTCTTGCCACCACCCTTGTCACCAGCAGCATTGACCACGTTGATCTTGGGGTTGCCAGAAGTCGGACTTGCCTTCGTCATTGTTCCATGATGCAAGTGATCCGCTTCGGCAATCAACATCTGCAGATAGTTCTCCGCTGTGAGCTGTGTAGGCGCCACATCCACCATATGGGTCATGCGGAAGTTGCTGATGCGAAAGCTCGCTTGATGCTCCTTCGCAATCACTGTCCGCATCACTTCAGAAAGTGCGCTCACCTGCAGCAAGGGATCTGGAACCTGTAGTCCAAGTTCACGAGCTCGCAGGAGTTGACGTCGCCATTGGCGTAGCATCTCACCAGCTTCAGCTGCAGATTTGGCTGCTGTTGTTTGAGTCAAGTTGTTGAGGATGGTGCTTTTCTCGTTGAGACCACCAGGTTGATACAGCTTCAAGATGCGAAACACCAGCTGCACGCATGTCATCTCTCGCAAAGAGATTGCTTCTTGTTTGACCGTCTGTGGCACTGCAGCTAACAACATTGACAGCACGCGAGACTCTAACCTGACATACTTGTTCTCCACTTGAAGGTCAGGTTGCACAGCCATGCGATCCATTGGACCCGCTGTCAGCCATGTTGCATAGGCATCTTGAGCTCGTTGTACCAGTCCAGTCCACCACACTCTTGCGCCTTCTGAGACATCTGAGATCAGCGGCATCAATTCACTTAACCAATCTCCTGCACGAAGGGCAGCTTGAGGTTCTGACACGTCCTTCAAAATTGGCAGTGTAATTGGCACATTTCTCAGCACCTCAGAAGCTTCGCCATCAGGACCTTTTGCTTGTGGTTGAGGTTGTTGCCATTGCAGTGGCATTGAACCATATTGCATTGGTGCTGCATACATTGGTACACCATAAGGTCCAACTCCATGTCCTTGAGGCGGTTGTGGTGGTGGTTGCGGAACATAACCAAAATCCGCTGGTGGACCACCATGTCTGTGCACCGGTTGCTCCCAGTACTCACCTGTCAACCTTGGTCTTTCGCCATGCATCATCCTGACCTCTCTGTCCAACCATGCAAAACGATCTGCTCCAGGTTGAAGATGATGCTGCTGTTGTGGTTGTTGATCCACTGGAGTCCAAAAATCCTCCAAACCATCAAAACCTGTTCCACCACCCACGTGCTCATCAACTGCAAATGGGTCAAACTGCCATGGTGGAAGTTCTGGAAGATCTGCTACCTCCCGTGGTGGTTGTCCCGGTGGAACTTGAGTTCCTCCAGGTGTTGTTCTTGGTGACAGCGAGTAGTACTGAGGTCGGCGCGGTGGTGTCCTTGGTGGTTCCACGCTTGAACTCTTCTTCTTGAGCTCCTTCTGCAACTCCTCATTCTTCTTTTCAAACTCATCACGCTGGCGTTGCAAGTCCTCAGCATACTTCTTCATCTCTTCCTTTTGTTTCTCCATCTCAAGCTTCTGTCTGTGAAGCTCTTCAACCATTGATTGCTCCAAAGCCCGCTTGAGCTCATCACGCTCATCTCTTCCTTGTTGATTGACATCATCCACAAAGGTAGTTGTGCTACAACCTTGTACTCCACCTTGTGGTTGCCGACTTGCCTCACGTGGCATCTGTCGTCTCATCTCATACTGTTGCACTCCCATTGGAACTCTTTCCAAGGGTGATCCATCATCTTGCCGATGACCTCGTCTTTGAGATTGATCTCGCAGACCACTTGGTACTGTTCGATGACCTTGAACTTGACGTCGTTCAGGTCCATAACCATGACTGACTCCTCGGTGGCGTCCAGTCTCTTGCACATTTCCTTCGGACCTTGAGGGTCCATGTCGGCTGACTCCTCGATGGTGTCCCGCCTCTTGCACATTAACTTCAGACCTTGAGGGTCCACGGCTGACTCCTCGATGGTGTCCAGCCTCTTGCATGATGTCAGACCTTTGAACTGGTATCTCACCTCCCAGTCCTCCAGTCTTTCCATCTTGTCTTGCAACCCCATGAGATGGTATCTCACCTCCCATCCCATTGGGCTGCACAACTCTTCCTTGACCATGCTCCTTGCCAGAACGTTGCACTTCTCCAGCAAGTAGCCCTGCTGCGACACCTCGATGGTGCCCAACTTGTTCAACACCTTGAGGGTGTTCATCTTGATCGACACCTTGAGGGTGCCTAACTTGATCGACACCTTGAGGGTGCCTAGCTTGTTGACCTTGTCCAGCATCTTGAGGATACTGTCGGCCACACCTTGAGGGTGCACTTCACGGTGACCTTGTCCAGCATCTTGAGGATACCGAAGGTCTTGACCTTGTCCAGCATCTTGAGGATGCTGTCGGTCCACACCTTGAGGGTGTACTGCACGGTGACCTTGTCCAGCATCTTGAGGATACCGAAGGTCTTGACCTTGTCCAGCATCTTGAGGATGCTGTCGGTCCACACCTTGAGGGTGTACTGCATGTCGACCTTGTCCAACATCTTGAGGATGCCGAAGGTCCTTTCATCATCATTTGATGGCATAGCCCCTTGAGTCTGCAAGGCCACACCTCGTCTTGTACTCCAACTTGACGGAGCACTCATTCGTCCCATTGCTAGCGGCTCCAACTCTCGCGACGCGTCTGCATCTTCTATCTCCGGAAGGTCCTCCTTGACTGAGACCTCTTCCCTTGGCGTCCACATCGGCTGCTCCATGGCCAACTGACGTGCTTCTCGTAGGTGTTCTTGCTGAACCCCGGCTGACCACCACGGATTCGGCTCGGTGCCTAAGTCCAACAGGTCAGTGCTCACATCCAGTTCTTGCCGTAGAGCCCCTCCATGTTCGCCTCGTAGTAGAGCTCGTCCTCCACCTTGACCATCACTGCCATTGGGTAGAGCTCTTTCATCTCCACGCCGAAGGTCTCTGCCATCATGTCCAGCTCGGTCTCTTCCATGCCCTTCTTGGCCTTCTTGATCCAGCCGTAGAGCACGAGGTCCACTTCTACCAAGTGGCACCGAACACGACCTAGTCCACGACATGGCAGGCGCCCCTCAGCTGAGCGTTGGGCTCATAACCTGTGCAAGGCAGAGCAGCGCGCCTTTTGATCCTAAAAGAGCCTCCAGTCGTCACACTGATAAGAACAGATACTTCACCTGTCAAGCAGTGATAAGACCAGATCCTACACATACCCTATTGTACATGCATGCACATCAACCCTTTTGCACATCTTAAATCCCAAGGAATTCTGATGGCTTTCAGAAGCTGAAGCCCCATCTGACGACGCGGCTGACCCAGGAGAAGCAAGCGCGGTTGGACACCGAGTGGAAGGCTAAGAAGGCTGCGGCCAAGCGGCAAAAGGAGTTGCAAGAAATGCGAAGGCGGCTAAACATGGGTGGAATTCAGCAAGAAAATGGGCGGTTTAAAGAATTAAAACTGGGGGGATCCTCAACTCACCATGGTCGTTGTTTCAATACATTTTGTACTACAGTCATGGTCTAATGACTTGGATTTCATCAAGAGATGTTGGAGCACAAATCTTCAGTGGGAGGACTGACCCTAAAAGTTACATGTTTCGAGAATTATCGGCTTCCCAAACCTATAGACAGAAGGATTGGTAGCGATGCCAGGACACTGAAGAAACAAGTTCCTCTAAAGTGGGCCGGAAAAAAAACAAGTTTAGCCACTGGTTTAGAATCCTTTACTGTAGTTGGGATAGTATGGGATGCTTCTGTAATATTGTCACATTGTACAGCTAGACATACATCCACATAACATATAATATATTGTAACATAACATTATATTATATTATATTATATTATATACGTATACAAATATACATAGAGAAAGAGGGGGAGATGTATATACTTAAAAGATATAGCTAACCATATATATATATAAGATGTATTATATATAACACATACACAGACCTCCTGGCAGACCATCCGTGCCAGGAAGGCCGATGAACAGCGCAAGAAGAAGCTCGAAGAGGCGAAAAAGAAGGTGCCGCCGGGACCTGGCCGAGGCAACGGAGCTATGGGGAGATGAGAAAAAAATGTGATGTTGTTTTTGATATGAACCAAAGATGGGAATATGATGGATATGTATATTTGTATATGTATATACATATATATATATACATACATTTATTTATATATATATACATTTATATATATATATACATTTATATATATATACATATATATACATACACATATTATATATATACGTGGACCGACATGGTTTTGTTTTTCAGATATGAACTAAGAATCTGGACATGGAGCAGCGTGTTTTTCAAACAGGAATGGAGATAAGGACCAGTGACGATGGCCCAACGAAACCTGCACTCAAGCCTGGCTGGGAAGGAGGAAGGTGAAACAAAAGATGAAGAGACAGAGATGAAGGAAGAAGAGGTGAAGAAAGAGGACTGTCCGCCCATGATTTCTGGTTTCAGGTTTCATATTTTGGTATATCCCCAATTGAGGGCTAGCAGCTACCTACTTTTTTGAGCGGTTTCAACGTTGTGCTGTCATGTCATCACTCACCTGAAGTTCATCATTCCCCACTGCGAAAAAAGGCCCTGCTTTTGGCTCTGTAGGTAGGTTGTATCGAAGATCATAAGTGGTTTGCGTTGAGCAATTGTAAGATCACATCGCCATAAAGTAAACTCATGAAGTGGACTGTGCACTTGTTTATTTGCCTGTGAAATCCAGAGTAGTTGTTGATAGCATGACAACTTTTATGTGCTTGAGATACCCTTTTTCGATGGTTGAAGTCATCATCAAATTCTCTGCATGGGTTCCAATGTTCCTGCACAGTTTTTGTTGCTCAAAGCATGTTAAATTCCATTAGATCCCCATTTTTCCCCATTCAATCATCATTTTTCAAAAGGTGAAATCCCACTTAAAAACTCATGAAATCTCATGAACAAGCACCATGTTTCTTGGTGAGATCCCATTTTGTTACCACTTCTTCAAATCCACCTTTTTTGATGCTGAGAAAATCACCTGAAACCACCATGAAATCAGGAGGTGAAACAGGAGAAGGATGAGGACGACGGTCTTGGGGATGAACCGCCCAAGGCCCAGCTCACGGACGCGGACGCTTGGCGTCGAGAACACATGGTGAATTCATGGGAAATTGTGAGATGGGGATTTCACGGTAGAAAATGGGATTTCACTAAGAAATGGTGGTATAACAAGCCTGTAATACGGAATAATACGGATATTTTTTGGGAGATCCATGGGATATGGGTGGAATTAGCCTCCTTTGTGTCATCAGCTCCGTGGCTGAACGTCATCACCCATGGCTAGATGATTTTCCGTTCGCGAACATGAAACATCCATGGCTTCAGGGATTTTCCTCGGCATTTTGGATTGAGGGTAACCACCAAAACTGATGATTCAAACAGGATTCACAGGGGATCTACTGGAGATCTTGGCAGATTTTTGGGGATTTTAATGGGATTTAATGGGATGTTCCCCAAAATGTGATGGGGATGAAAGCAACGTTTACATGAAGATCATGAGCCCCGGTTGACCATGGCCCGGAAAAAATTGGGGCTGAATGCAATGTCTAACAGGAGATTTGTTCACAAGAAACATAGGATTAAGGTTGAGCAACCTATGGAGATAGAAATGTGGATACAGCAGGATATGTAGGGAGTAAAAACCAGTGATATCGGGGATAGATTGTGGGATATTGCTGTAGGGGGTTGTATAACCAGCAAATGTGATATAGTAGATGCGGTTGAAAATGGGGATCGCCTAATTGTAGAATGGCAGTTTTAACTGGAAAAAATATGATCATAGGATTTAGGGGACCCTATAGTCAGACAAACCCATACGTGCTTGCTTTCACCGTTGGAAAAGACCGCTTCGGATTCGCATCCTCATTTAGAATCCTCCTAAAATGTGAATTGAGCCGCAAACTTTGAAGTGTTTCATTCTATACACCACGTATCACCACGTAATAATATGTGTATATATAATCATACATATATATAACTTGGTACATAACCATGGCCAGTTTTGCAGGTCGCTCCCTGACGGGTTTTTGTGACGTCACAGGAGAAGAAGAAGGTCTTTCGCGGGGCTGTGAATGACCTAGCGCCCACTACGCTCAGCAAGTTCCTTCATCAGTTCACACTGCCGGTAACTTGGTTGTGAATGGTTGGGCTTATGGATTTGGCCCAGAAAAAATGGGAATTCATATCACCTATTTTTTTTCATCATAATTAATTAAATTAATTATATCAGTAGGCTTATGCCTCATAATTCAACCAGGAAAAGTGGATACAGTACCATGAGACATGATAGGGACGACTTACTGGTGCATCAAGCCATTGGGCTCCGGAGACCAGATTCTCAGATGGGCTGACCGTCAGACCTTTGTTTGGAAGTCCCCACTGGATCCCGAAAAGACAAGTTTGGGTAAGATCATGTTAGATCCCGCATGTATGCAGGGTTTTATCCAGATTCTCGGTGCCTAAATCCGATCTTTTGACATGAAAAATGACATGTTTCAGAGGCGGCCAAGGGCCAAAGAACAGCTGAGACTGGTTCCCGGAAAGAAATTGACCAAACCATATCCAAAACCATTCATGTATCCCAAAACTGGGGACATGTTTCAATCGCATTCCATGGCTTCGCCTGCGCTGCGCTAAGGAGAAGGCCGAGGGCTTTGATGAAGTGAAGTTTCTGTGGGACGCAGCTCCCAAATGTGGCTGGACCTTCCGCAGTCCAGTGCTTTGATCATGGGATTGTTATGTTAAGTTTGTGGCCAGATCATACCTGATATTAATCTATATATTAGTTACTATAAAAAATGTTGTGCGCATTTTTTTGGGGGGGGAATTGTCATTACTAGATGATTTTAGAAAGTAATATTATATAATATTACTATAATATTCACAATATATTTTCTCACTATTGTCATATAGATGATCTATCCATATCTTGTGTCCTTCAAAAGGGGGCCGGGCCCCTTTTAAAACGCCGAGGCAAGGAGTACTTGAGAAAATGGGTCCTCGAGGCCAAGAGGACGACGTGCCATGGCTGCCATGGCCAGGGCTAATGGGTGTGTTGTTTATAATGAGATTTTAATCAAATTGATAATGTATGATCCAATGAATCCAATATGATATAATGCTTTAATATATATATATATATAGATAGATAGATTAGATTAGCTTAGCTTAGCTTAGCTTAGCTAGATAGATAGATAGATAGTACTATATGCTTACTGTAAATATATATATATACATAGTATATTATGCTATAAGTTCAATGTGCTTTACGACAATGGCTTCCCGTTTCGAACTATCCCATGAAGCTTGGATGCCCAGCAGAGAGCTGAAGGTGGGGAGTATCAGACATGATATGGCCGATACGGGGCCATGGTGTCGCATCAGGTCAGGAAACCAATCATTATATGAGGAAACACTAAGGACATAAGGAGATATATATATATATATATGGATAATTATGGATATATGAGGTGTAACAAGCAGCAGGCCTGGCTCTATGTTCTGGGGATAGATACCCTCTGGTAGTTTAACATAGCTATGGAAAATGACCCATTTATAGTTGATTTATATAAAAGTGCTTGATGATTTTCAATAGTTATGTGAGTTTACCAGAGGGTAAGCCAAAATATGATAGATCACCTTGAATCAAAGCGGCGCTCCAAACAGGGGCCCCGAGCCGCGCTTCAAAGATCCGAAAAAAGCTCCAAACGCTCCAAAGTCGCCGAGGCTCATTGAACACCTCCAGCCAGCTCCGGAGTTTACTTCCAAATTTATGGCCTGGCAAAAGCAACAGCTGGAATGGCAGCAGAAGCACCAATGGCAGCACCTGGAGTCCGTTGAGCTGGACACGATTTTGTGCCTTAAAAAGCTGCTATGTTCATAGGTTGATCTGGAGACCCGTGGGTCATTTCCCACAGAACCAATTTTGCAAAATTTCAACTGTGAGTCGGCACAGAAGGAAAATCTGGATTCTGCAGTCCTTTAGAGTCATTCTTAGAATCAACTGGATACAACGGGAATGGCGTCAGATTCTTTGGTCTATGATCTATAAAGTCCTGCAAACATGCAGAACCGATTCTAAGTGCTTCAGAGCCATGTCTATGTCAATATGGGTCAAGTTTGTGTCCCAAGAAAGATTTGATTTGGAGGAGTAAATGTTAAACATGACTACACTACATAAAAAATACATAAAATGACCATAAATCTTCATCATGTCGGATTCCCCTTGAATTGTTGAGGCAAAATTTCTGGAAGGCCAAGCCAAAGACCGACGAAGCCAAGGTGCCAAGAACTGGCTTATTGACGGTGACATGGGCCAGCTTAGTGATTGAGTCATATTGAGTCCACAAACTGAGTTTCTATGAGTTTCTATGAGTTTCTCAGTCATGATAATTATAGATATAATGATTTATAATGATTTATATTGATTTATAATTACTGTATAATTACTGTATAATTACTGTATTTATAATGATTTATATATAATGATTTTTAATGATTTGCAATGATTTATTGTGATTTGTAATGATTTGTAATGATTTATTATGATTTGTAGTGATTTGTAATGATTTATTATGATTTGTAATGATTTGTAATGTTTTTCCCATCTACAAGTTGTGAAAAAAGATGAGAAACCAACGGTAAAGCCTACATTCTTCGCTACGTCACAACGTCCTCGCGAGGCCCTGGAAGTTAATGCGAGCTTGGACATCTTCTCAGTGGAGGACGTTGGCCAAACTTTTCCAGCTCGGTGATATTTGGGTAAATTCTTCCCTATCCAGTGAAACCATAGAGTTGCAGTTGCAGGGTTTGGATTTCTGATATCAAACACGGCTTCAACTGAGCTTGGTTTGTCCTAAGATATCCTAAAATATCAATGATCATATTGTTGGTAAGGTTATGCAGTAACTACCACTTTGATATCCCCAAAACCAAGGTACTACATATAACCAGTACCAGAAATATCCGGAAAAAATCCCCCAATTTTTCAGGGGATTTCCCATGAAAAATCCCAGGACGTGAACGACATCCACGAAGGAGAACCTCTCTTTGCCCACTTCGAGGCTGCGGACTGGGCCCTGCTGCAGCTCCGGTGGCCCGTCCAAACATGGTGATGTTGAACGGTGGGAGAGATCTACGCATGATGTGGTTAAAACAATAGCCAGTGATGGTTAACCACTGGTAAATCTATGGTAAATCTATGGTAAATCCATGGTAAATCTATGGTAATCAATAATCAACCATATTATAACGGTGGGATATCTTCTATTGATATTTTACACAGCTATAAAATGGTGATTTAAACCATAGCTTTTTGTATGTTTACCAGAGGGTATCCCATATCATCTGTGGAAAACAATCATAAACCACCCATTTGGGAATGGTAACCATATCGTGATTTGGAAGATGGTTTATGATTGTTTCAACCACATTCCATACCATATATAACTATAATATTATATGTATACATATACATGATACTTATGAAAAGAGAAAGTGACTGGTAATGTGTGAGGATAAGGAATATGAAATGACTGAATTGTCAAGAATGACGTGTGTTGGAACCTTTAATTTCATGGACACGCCACCAGGGACACACTGGAGCCTGGCCCAGGTACGAGCTGTATCTGCTTCAAGACGCCTTCAAAAAAGACGTGAACGATCCAGACCGTGTCTCGCTAAACTGCTGAGCCAGGGGAGAACTGAAAACCACGGGGTTTGAAGAGCCTGATTAAGGCTCTTCAGCCCGACCACTAATTTGATAGTACTAATTTATACTGATTTATCATATATATATATATTATATTATATATATATATATATTTGCATATACGGCATGGGAATGGCTCAGCATGATCTAACTCCCACCATCGACAAAACTTGTCAATTTTGCATAGCTCATCGACCTCTTGAAAAAATTCATCACAGGTCTTTCCCCCCAAAATTTTCCTGGCTGCCACGAAGCGAGGTTCGGCCATTCCGGAGCCGCACCTGTCGTTTTACTACCAGCGATATTTCAAGAAGCAGCTCAGTCCTGGGATCTTCAGCCTCAAGAACAACACCGCAGCATGGCTCCAAAGGGGAGATTAAAACGGTGCCGGGCCCATCCCCATAATATGAAGTGGATATTTGATCGTAGGGGGACATATGAAATATTTGTTGCCAGCTGATAATCAGAAGCATTGATGTATAAACGGTATCTACTATCCATCCGAGACAAGACCCCACAACATGCATAACATGTGCCTTGAAAATCTTGAAAGAGGGCTCCAAGCCTAGGGATTGACCGGCCATCAGGAGTTGCTTCAGATGATCAAGGATGTGGTGATTTTGTCCGGCGAACCTCCAGTTTTGACGTCCCAACTGGGGGCTGAAAGTCTGGAATCACCAGATATCTTTGTCACTTCGACGGAGGGATGGTTGAAACATGTTGTGGTTCGGGGACGGGCAGATGTGAAAAGAGATGATGTGATACTCAGTTTCTTGAGCTAAAAATTATTCATAATGGGAATTTCAGGATCCTAAAATGGAGGTACAGTACCTCCATGTACCTCCATTTTAGGATCCTGGAATTCCCATTGAATAGATATTCTAGCTGAAATAGCATCTGGAACCACACTGCAATCGATAGCCATGGGGCCTCAATGTACCTGGCAAAATGACAACCACGAAAAAAGATTCGATGGTTCTCACATAACAACCACTATCCTACCCATACATTTCGTATAAATTATATATATATACACATCTAATTGCATGCATATATGCATGCACACATCCATCCACCCATGCATGCATGCATCCATCCATCCATACATACATACATCCGTGTATTGCCACGAACTCCCGCGATGGATGGTATCTGTTAGTATTTAGGTCAACTAACCCCATCGGAATCTATGGAATCTCTATGTATATAGTTGGACCGCGGCCTTTAGACGGCCGTAGTCTTTTGTTGGGGTGGGGTCGGGGGTGGGGTGGGGCGGGATGGGATAATAACGTCACTGACTCTCTCACACATACGTCATGCTACGCTACTGTACAAAAAGGTTCTTGGAAGAACTTGAAGCTCTGATGTGAACAAAAGACTGCTAAAAATTTGTGAACACGAATTAGTTGGGGGCTTTGAATAAAACCCAAAATGGAGGTTTCGTGTAGGCGAAATGACTGTTTTCATTTTTCTGCTTGGAACTAAGGCGTTCACGGCCTTTACACTAAAATCACATGAATTCCTATTGGCACAAGCACATCAAACATGATCAACAACATCCCATGAATCAAAAAAGCACACGGCCATCTAAAGGCCGTGCTCCTAGTTATGTGTATATCCATTTATAGTAAAAAAATATTTGTTCAAATTCCTCATGTTTCCATCGTTAAATCACCATTTTCCCGTTTTCCTTGGTTTTAATCCTCATATGTTTCTTGGTTACATCCCACGTTTTTTTCTGAACTCCCCATTCTTCGCGGTGTTTTCACCATTTTTCTGCACCGGACCTGGGTCATCACCATTTTCTGCGGCTTTTTCCAAGGTCAAATTCACTGAAGAGGCGCGCCGCGAGCGCAAGCGCCGCGCGGAGGCGGGCGACGAAACCTCCACGCTGCGCTACACGCCCCCGGCGGCGAACGCGCCGCCGCCGCCGGCGCGGCCGGTGCTGTGGCACGGGGATGGGGATGAGCGGATGGGAATCCTGATTCGCCATGAGGAGTTGTATTTATCCCCCACTTCTGGTTGGTGGTTTGGAACATGGCTTTTATGACTTTCCATATATTGGGAATAATGATCCTAACTGACTAATATTTTTCAGGGGGGTTGAAACCAACAACCAGGTTTGTATGATCAATGGATAGCAATTTTCATGAAATGAAATCGAAATGATTGATGAAGTTATTGTGATTCGAACAAGACATGACTAGTTAATAGTTAATAGTTCAGTTGTGTTGTAAGATGATGTTTTGCCATTGCACCAACTGTTCTTGAGGGATGTTAACCATTCATCACCAGTATTATATAATGGATATGAATCACTATTGATGGATATTATCCATATTAATGGGGGGGCTGAAAATCTTCAGGGTTTTGGACCAAGGCCATGAATCGGGAGGGGAGATCACAGGGAAACCGGACTTGGGGAGATCAGTATCTCATGCGAATAATGGGCATCAGTGTATCAGAATTCTATATTCACATAGTATCCTCGAAATGCATCGATGCCTCTTGGTTTGTTTTGAGGAGAAATGTTTGAAAACTCTCATACTGGAGTGTCGCAAGCCAGTCTACTCGATTGAATTGGCCACAATGTGGGCCCCCCCCCAGTTTTAAGTTGTTTTGTATATAAACCCCATTAATTAACATCCATTAACTATAGTTATAAGTACCATAAACCAGAGTTAGTGGTGGATGGTTACCTGAATAAACCACCCGGGTTATCCCTCCATGCTTGGCGTAGCCCCGTTGGCTGAGATGCAGCAATGGCAGCCTGCGCCGCGGCAAACCCCGCGGCCAAATTCGCAATGGCAAGGAGGAGGTGTCGGACACGGGATGTTTGATCAACAAAAAGTGGGGATTTAGCCACATACCCTCTGGTAATTTAACATAGCTATTGAAAATGACCATTTATATATAGTGAGTTTTCCCATTAGAAATGGTGATTCTCCATAGTTATGTTAGTTTACCAGAGGGTAAAGATAGGGTTTTGCATCACCCCCCCCAAAAAAATGTTGATGATTCAACCAGCAAAACTGGGGATTTCAGCAATAATGAGGAACATGGGGGAGTCGCTTGCCCTTACCAGATAGGGTGACCAACCAATGAGCCATGGGCATGGAGACACCTCAAGGAATTGACCTATAAATGGCGGTTCTTCCATATCTATGTTAAATTTCTACTCGAGGGTAGTAACCATAGTACAGCCTACTTACATATGGAGCATCCGCAGTTCCATTTTGGGTGATAAAACCACCAGCAACCAGCTATGTTATGGTAAGTTGGCAGAAACCTTGGCGGTCTCTAAGTCTACTGTGGGTGATCACTATTCTTATTTGCTAGTTCCTGGGTTTGTCTAAACATGTTCATAAGATATCATGAACATCCCATGAAAATCCCATGGTTTTTGAAGATCCTCCATCACTGACATTAGTTGAATGCAATTGTTTGGGGTATCCAGCGATATCAGTGACCGGAGAGATTAACCGCGTGGACCGTCGTGGATGTCCCATACACTGCGTGGACCAAGCATGGTTCATTTTTTGTTCTAAAAACCACTGGGATGCAGATCGATCAAGGAAGCAGATATCTCAGATATCATCATTTGGTCAATTTGGTCAATCATAATCCACCTGTATAGCTATCTGATTGGTGCTTTGGAACATTTTTTTTTCCACATATTGGGAATAATCAATAATAATCATCCCAACTGACGAACTCATATTTTTCAGGTGGGTAGGTATACCACCAACCAGCTATGATTCGCTATAAGTCGCCATTTGACGTGTTTCTTCATGTGGCGCCTTTTCCGCAGGGATCGATCGGATCGGCAAAGCTGTGAGGTTACTGGTATCCTCACGGAAAAAGATATGAAAAGATGCATAAAACAGAAAACCATCAGAAAACCATCATAAAACCACCATAAAACCACCATAAACAAAATCACTTGGGAAGAATTTAAGTTGGTTTAACCATGTTTTTCACGTGCAAACGACTTGCACTGGGATCACGGCAAGCGTTGCAGGTGGCAGCTGGAACCGCTCGTGGTGATGGTGATGCGGTTTCAGTGCCGAGATGTCCTGAGACAGATCTATAGAGGAAGATAGATCAATGATATTATACATACAAAGTATATCTATATGAATATCTATATGATATCTATATGTATGTGTATGTATATAATATATATGATCTATGTAAAGTTAAATCTATAATCTATATAAATATATACATATACACATAGTCGATATATAATGCTCTATATATATATATATATAGTGAACCACATGTGTGAAACAGATTTGTCAAACACATTCGATTATCGAATATGTCAAGAGAAATGGCATGACGAGTGCAGAAGTTTTCTTGCTTGCAGGACATGACAGTATACTGCGAAGGTTAGGAGAAGCCGTTATATAACTGGCCACTTCGCTGCTGACGGTTTAGCCGAGACCTCGCGCAAACATTGTAAAACGGCCGCTGCGCTGATGCCGCTGATCTGGAGATGTTGAACCAACCGGTTGATCGTGGATTTCACAGAGAAGTGCTGGCGGCGTGTGGTATTCTTCGGTACCGAGGCCATGTGCTGGGCCCTGCTCTGGCCTCAGATCTGGTTGACCACTGGTGATTTTGAAGAGCCATGATGGGGGATTTTTCACATGATTCCATGCAAACTGGGGAGATTTCATGGGGATATACCCTCTGGTTATTTAACATAGCCATGGGAAATGGCCCATTTGTAGAGGTTTACCTATTAAAAATGGTGATGTTCCATGGCTATGTTAAATAACCAGATGGTAACTGATATATTGATATATATGATATATAACCAATGATGATTTGGATTCTCTCGAGAAATGGGATAATGAACTCCAATCAGGAGCACATTTTCAGGGGCTCAACAACCAACAGCCATGATTCAGCACAGTGAGGAAAGACCCCGGGACAACTCCTCGACCGCATGGCGTCAGAATATCGACGTTGGGGAGCCCTGGTCACATTTCATAAAGCGAGTTTCGTAAACGGTGTTTTTTTTGCCATACAGCCATGGATTTCACCCCAAGAACAGATGAATTGCAAAATGGATCATCCATTTAGGAGATGCTGGGTTTGCCTGAATATCCACAGTTCTGGATCGTCAACAGGCAAATCCCTTTGAATCATGGCTCTCATTGGACAGAACAATTACCCTCTGGTAAATAAACATAGACCCTGAAAATCACCAATGTTTAATGGAAACTAGTCTTCCAACCCCGACAACTGCCAGGGTCTATGTTAGTTTACCAGAGGGTAAACATTAACATTAAGATTTATTGGGATCTAGCTGGCCAAGTAATGAGGATGTAACAGTGCCTAATGGGTTTAGCATCATTTTTTCATGCTTGGGATTTAAAAAAGATGTGTCCCAAAAACGTGGCTGGCCTTGCCTTGTGGTGACAGGCTCTGAAAGAATCGGAGCGAGCTGCAAGGGCCTAAGGATCTGGGCACCGCATTTCCCAAGCGCAGCATGGGATCAGGGAAAACTGGGAAGTGCAGTTCCAGTTCAAAAAGTGGGTAGATTTCACCATATACGCTCTGGTAATTTAACATTGCATAGCTATGGAAAATCACCATTTTTAATGGGAAAATCCTCTATAAATGGCCATTTTCAATAGCTATGTTAAATTACCAGAGGGTAATCATCATAGTTGCACCTATTTGTAACCTCAACTGCACGCCCAAGTATGGAAAATTGTGATGTCAGCAGAGATGAGGAACTCGTCCGGCTAAGGGGCATTGTCAGGAACGCTATGGATGTTGCTGGATTGTCGACTGACGGACCCGTTCACGCTCAAGAGAACGATATAGTGGAATCTCATGGAATCTCCCCTCCACCAGCGCTTATTTTAGAGGGAAGTACCCTCTGGTAAACTAACATAACTATGGCAAATCACAAAATTCAATGGGTAAATCCACTATAAATATCTATAAATCACCATTTTCAATAGCTATGTTAAATTACCAGGGGGTACCCCCCACTGGAAACTGACCATATTTTGTATTCACAACCCTATGTGTGTAAAGTTTACACCATTGATCCCCCGCTTTGGGTCAGATTTACACAGCGTATCAGATAGTTGTGCGATGTCTTACGAAGGTAACCATTCTTGTTTGGTAAATTCATCATTCTTTACAGTACAATCGGTAAAATCCCCATCTGTTGCTACAGCAACTCCGTGAAGGGAGGTCGTACCCATTCCTACCTTATTTGCGCCCCCACTACGGCACCCAGAATCGGCGTCAAAGCTCAAATCTGCCAACGGTGCCAGCGGGGTCCCAAGCAAAATGCCGGCAAGTTGGGATAGCGTCGAAGGACTGTAATGTAAAGTGTAAAGGATTTTTCTCAGAGCAAGCATGGGAATTTGACTAAGACATTGTTTAAATCGGGAGTTTGCAAAGATTTAAAGCATTGAAATTTAAGCAAATAGCAGTGTAGAGGATATAACCACAGAAAATGTGGGTTCAGGGATGGTGGGGACTTGAGCCAACAGCTTCTCCTGAACCCAACAGAAAACGGGCCTGCCAAAAAAGTCCAGAATCGCAACCTGATGGTCCCAATGGACTAAGGTAGAAGGTCTCAGGCAGATGGCAGGTGCGCAGAGCTGTCTGACACCGACGGTTGCGTAGATCAAAAATAAGGTTGGACCGTCCCCAGTGGGAAAATCAGTAGTGAAGATGGGGCGATGTTCTCTCCCCTCCAGGATCAATTTCCATACGTACAATATATGCTGTATACTGCCATGTGACAGAGGTCTGACAGAGGGAGTTTTTCTATCATAGTATCGCGTAGTATGGGGACTAACTTTGATGTTTGATGGTTCCGCATAGCATTAACAACATAGTAAACCCAGAATAGTAAAAAACAGAATTTGTTATGGTTCATGACAAGCCGCCAACTGTTAAAACTTGCACATGGTTTGCGTATTACTGCACTGTATTCGTAGTATAGTCTATCATGATCTATCATGATCTATCATGATCTATCATGTATGTTGATTCTTGCAGACCAGCATGATGACCACGACCGTGCCATTTTTTGGATCATTTTTGTGATATATGTGGTAACCATTGGTAGACTATGGAGATCCACTGAGGATCCACATGGATCAGATATCCATCCCATGGTCCCAAAGAGGTGTTCCGTTCCGACGTTCTTTTTTGAGCGGAAGGAATGACGTGTAGGATGATCATATTATAGATAAACCAATTAAATGATCATCATATATCATATATCATTATTATCATTATTATCATTTAATTACATAGTAGATAATCATTATCATCGTCATATCCCCATACAAATATCATAAATATCCCTATTGAATCATCATATGTTGTATCTGGTCAATTATAAATCAATATCCCCATTCATATCCCCATTAACATCCCATGAAATCATCATTTCCAGGGATGACTTCACTGGCGCCGCAGCCAGATTTGACGCTGGAGGAGACTCAGCTGGCTGAGGCGCCGGCGCAAAGGGAAGGATACTGCATTTTTAGGGACATTCAAATATCAGACTATCAGACTGGCAGACTGTCAGACTGTCAGACTGTCATATTATTGTTGGTATATTTTACATATTATAGTTTATAGATTTATTTGTTTGTTTATTTATCTATTCATTTACGGGTAGCTTCTAATCATAAAGTATAGCCATGAAATCCCCATATTTTAGCACCATCAAACATCATCAAAGCACCATCTGCTTGGGAAGGACTTACCAAAGACGGATGCCTTGCCGCGGGAGGATCGTCCCATCATTGACGGGCAGGTCATGGGCGTGGGGCAACAGGGTGTGTCGTTGGGAAATGTTGGGAAATCTTGGGAAAAGACATGAAGATGATGGTTGAATTAATCATAATCATGAGATATCATCATCATCGTTATGATTATCATTTATTATCATCATCATTATCATCATCATCCATGTTTTGAATTACTCAAGATTGACAGTTTGGGTATGCATGACTTTTGGGCAAACCCTGCAAGTCATGAGGAACCTCCAGATAGAGCATGTTTCGAAGATGCAGCTGTGCCGTGGATCGAACTTCGGCCAAAATAGGACTTTCATTGAGTTTTAATCAGTTAGTATCACTTGAAATCAGTTGATATCAGTTGATATCAGTTGACGCAAGCGTCCATGTTTGATGTGTGAGACGACGTTTTTTTTAACGCGCGACAACAGTCTCGCCGTGTGTGTCCAGGCAGGCACCAGAAAGTCCCAAGTTGAGGTTCCGTGGGAGCGTGAGTCATGGCTGTCATGGGCAATGAATGAATTGAATTGAATTGATGATTATTTGTTTGGCTGGTAAATCCAACCGGAATTTGACATGACATCTGGGTAAATTATAACGACCTCACTGCGACCTCACTGGAATCATGGTTAGTAAGGGGAATCATCCCCAAATGGCCTTAATTCAGGTTGGTGAAATATTATAACTTACCCAGATGACATTAAATGACTCTACGTGGTAAATTCCGGAAGATGATCGCCATTTCTGGCTAGTTGAAACCACTAGGAGGTAATTAATGGACATCTTGAGAGTCGTTCTACGAGCAGCCCCGGAAAATTGTGATATTATAGATATTATTAGCATCCAATCAATGACGCTGGTTTGCTTCAGATTTTCCGTTTTCCTTGGTGATATATATATATATTATACACCCATCCCTGTTGCTGTTTGGAAAATGTATGCTATTTGCCATGTTCCCCCAATATGTAAAGGTTGCTTGAATTTCCCCAAGGTTAGCTCACTTTCCCATGGTTGTAGCCATTATGGTTGTAGCCACACGGTTTGATTGATGACCCCATGATTTCAAGGAAAGTTTGCCTATGTTCCCTCAAATCCAGCAATCCCATGCATATGGCGCTTAAATTCTGTGTATCTTCGTGCTATTTGGATAGTCCAGGATAGTCACCGGTGACGTGGCTGGGAAAACGTGAACTACATGGAGTCTCAAAAAAGTCTTAATTCATCTATAAATGGAGGGTTTTTCCAGCCACGTTTGGTTACTGGAGGGTAAATCCACCAATATTCCATGAATTTCCTATTATATCCCTATTTTAGGCCTATTATACCACCATTTTTTGTAGTTGAAACCATGTTTGATGGTGAAATCCCCTATAAAGGCCTATTAAATCATCATGTTTCTGCGTTGTTCCCATGATTTCCCCCGAGAAGGCAACCTCTGAAAGCTTGGCGGAGGTGCTTTTGTGATTTTTTGGCGCTAGGGTAAGTAAATGGGGAGAATAACCAACCACAAATAATGGGATATGAGTTCATTGATATTAACGGAATATGTATGATTGTTGCCTTTTGATAATTTAATATAGCTATGGATGGCCCACTTTAGATAGATTTAGATCGATAATTTTCGAAAGTTGAAGGTGATTTTCCATGGGAAACTGAGAAACTGGCACGAATTGCCAGTACTCGAAAAAAAATCGTCCCTTTTTGAGACCAAGAATTGCCCCAAAATATCCCCAAAGCCGACTCTGAAAGAAACTTCGCCTGAGATCGAGTCCGCCATGATTTTCGGGGATTATGACAGCCATGATTCCGACTGGGATGGGGAGCCGGACAGGATGGTGTTGTGATTCCAGCAGCGGTTCCAGCAACGTTCCATGGAAAAAACCCGGGAGGTGCGTCGCATGGCGGAGTTCTGGAAGATGAAAGCAGAGGCAGATTCGCGACGTAGCTGGCAACGTAGCTGGAGGATGGGGATGTTCAGCACTGGATGACTGGATACTATTAGTAATAGGTGCTTTTTCCTGACAGGTATAGAGAATGATAGAGATTTGAGATTTGTTTACTGACAATAACCATGAGGTAATTAGAAAAGGATGAAGTGTTTATGGGAGAGCCAGTGCAAAAGAAAGGACTGGTCATACATCTTGATTTTTCTTTATAACGACCTCATTGCGACCTAACTGGAATGTAGCGACAACTATCCCAATATAGCCGTATTATAATGAGTATAAATGGTATTATATCTCCAGATGCTGGAATGATGGTTAGTATTTCAGGTTAGTGAGTTATTCTGGTTGGTGGTTTGGAACATGTTTCATTATTTCCATATCATATATGTGGAACAATTCGGAATAATCATCCCAACTGATTAATATTTTTCAGAGGGGTTGAAACCACCAACCAGTAGTATAATTTACCCAGATACATTCAGGATTGACGCCTCAACTTTGACCCATAAGCCATAAGCACCAAAGGGGTCCCGAGGAGACCACGATCAGGACTTGGATTTGACTTCAAACGGCTGACTTCAAACCCCTCGGTTGATCATATGTTGTTTGTGATATGTCTATTATATATATATAATTATATATATATATATACTGGTTGGTGGTTTGGAACATGTCTTTTCCCATAATACATGGGATAATCCTTCCCATTGACTTTCATATGTTTCAAGATGGGCACATTGCACCACCAACCAGATATATACACACATTGCTTTGATTTGATCTATCCTGTTTTATTGTTGCACATAAATCATACACATATGTACAGGTATAGAAATCAGACCATTTCAACAGCCGATGGACTTTCGAAATTGGCCCCAAGATTCACCAAATTGTTTCCCAAAAATGACAAGTGAAATCACCGTTAAACATACAAAAATATGATTGAAATATTAATGAAAACTGGGGGAAACCCACTTGGGAAGAAACATGAAGATTCACCATCACATATGAAGCATGAGATTCCCATCATATTTGATGACCAGAGGGTATTCCCCGTATTTCGCCGGGCCAGGCCGCCGAGAGAAGAGCGTGTGCAATGGCTGAGGCTGAAGCTCAATCTTTTCGAATCGGAAGGAAAAAACCTTGAAAATATCCTTATATGTCCTTACCATACTCTATCTACTTGGACTTTCTTGGATTTTTTGTTTTTTTTTTCTACTGGGACTTTCTTGTCCCAAAACATGCACACAGTACCATTCCCCACCAACCCCCATGGCAGGGTCGTCATGTTGGATGGTCCTTCCACAGACTTGGCCTGAGTAGGCCATCAACGAGCTGGCGCTTGTGGCAGACGAACGCCATGTTGAGGCACCGCCGTTGGGATGTTTGATGTGAAGGTTGGAGAAATCCATGGTTTCTACTTTTTTGGAATACAGGGCACAGGGATTTCCTTTACATGTTTGCCCTTGAATCAACGCCGGGGTGAAGGTGTTGTTGTGAAACAAAGGGAGATTATCACTGTACATCAACCATTCCTCGCGCTGGCTGCGATAATCAACAATTGGAACGCTGTGTTGGACCACAATCAGCTTTCAGTTTGCATCATCCATATCCATATCCATATCCATATCCACATCCATATCCATATCCATATCCATATCCATATCATTCCACATCCATCATCATCATCATCATCATCATCATTATCATGAAATACCATAGAATTGTGGAATCATCAAATATCATCAATTGAGGGTTTTGACTCATGTCCAAATAGCACAATGATCATCCCGAAGTTCCGAAACGTCCTGTGGGCGCCATACCCATTTGGAAACGAAGATGGCAGTGGAAAACACGCAACTTGAAGCTGATCCATCTATTCTATTCTTTTTCTATATTAGCATATATATATACATATACATATACATACATATATATATATATACACACCTAGTCAATCCCATTCCTTATGCCTGGCGTATCTCCTTCCGCTGATTCCACTCAACCGAGGCACTGGAGAAGCAGTTGCTGTTGCAACAGCAACTGGCCAGTGCTGAGCAGCGCTGCGAGGCACCCGGAGGGACCCGAGATCTACGAGATGCTGATTCTGTGGGGTGCTTTGTTGTAGATTAGATGGCATAATGCGGGTAAAACAATCATAAAACATCCCCCAAAATCCTCTAAAATTATATGGTGATCAGAAGGGTAGATCAAATCATTTTTTCCAATGTGGGTAAAACAATGATAAAACATCCCCCAAATCACCATTTTAACAGGTGGAATAAGTTATGATATGTCATGTGAAATAGCCGTAGGGCATCCCTCTTTTCATCCCTTGTATCTAGCTTGTCTTTCCAGTTGTGAAGAACTCATTTTGGCATTGGCACCTTTACATTTGGCTCAAGCACTGCAGTAAAAGTCACTTGCCGTTGTTGCTTGCGTTTGGTGTCGTAAACCCCTATTTGGCTGCGGTAGGTGGGTTTGACTGGTCAACAGCCTCAGCCTAGGCCACCAATTGGGCATCCACATTTTTGCTAGCTCTAGGACTTGAGCCCCCTATTGCTTGCTCCACCGCCATTGTTCTGTTAAAATTATACCCAGCACCAAAAACGGAATGAACTTGGCATGCCAGTGTTATCCCATTGCACGCTCAGGCCATCTGTGCTCACAGCTTGCAATCACTGCCGTTTGAACCTCCAAAGGACAGACGGTATAAATATTTGGTGCGGGTCGTTCGCTGTCCAGGGCAACACCGCACGGGTAAAGGATAGTATCCACCTTCCATATTTGTAATCCTGTGTGTGTGTGTCTGTGTGTGTGTTTGTGTTTGTGTTTGTGTTTGTTGGTTGCATATAGGCTTCAATAATAACTGCGTGTCCCTGAAACATACTTGCAATTTCGCTTGTGCATTCGTCATTGACCACACATAGTTCATTGCTGTGTGGGGGGGATTGCTGCCTAGCAACAACACCGATGCACTAAATTCCATAATCCAGCCGAGAAAGGATAAGTAGACCTCACTTGATTGTTATAGGACCTTATCCAAGTGTCCTGCGAACTGTATCGCGTCATACCATCCAAAGGATTGTTGCTTTTGTGTTTTTCGTGTCCCTGAAACATACTCGAATAGCAAAAGCATTTAAAAAAAAAGAGTCGCATTCAGTCTGCCAATAACAAGCACCCTTCCGATCAAGCAAGGATTGCACTAGAAGCCCAATAGCAGAGTCGCTTCGCTGCTGCATGCCACGAAAGGGACGTCGACGTCAGAGGTCCAGGTCTCCGATCCCGATTGACTCAGACAGGGTCGTGCTGCATCGGTATCGCAAGGTTCAGGATGAACAGAGGGCCGGAAGACAGTGGCGTAGAAGATTCGAATCCGCCTGCTTGTGCCTTCTTGAATATATATTGTGTCATTGTTTGACGCATTGATCGCTCACCGAGACTTTGACGACTACAGTACTTTTGGCGTGGCAACAATCGGAAGGAGACAGCAGGTTGTCGACAGGGCGAACGAAATCCGGGCGAATGTCTTCATCCCCAGGAGGAGACAGCCATTGCTCCAGAGGTTTGAAGAGGTTTGGAGAGGAGGAGGAGGAGTTGAGTCAGCGGTGGGTGACTTTGTGTGCTTCAACTGCATCGGAATCTGAATCAGATCATCAGAATACACCTACTAGTGCACCGTCAACCGTTGTTTTGGTCCCAAGACCGTCGGTGTATCAGCCTACAGCTCCAAGACCTCGATCGTTTGCGGGGCTTTCTGTGACATTGGCCAATCCACTGTTGCAACCAAGACCAACTTCTGCACAACCTGTCCACCCAATTGGCAAGCCGGTTCCCTACTTGTCAAGGATTGGAATTGAGATCGTCCCACATCCGAGGGTTTAATACGCAGATCGAATTTGATCAGTGTAGATCGGCATCAGGTTTGTGACGCAATCCGACTGACCAAAACTACCCCTCGTCCAGTGGGTTACAGAATCATTCCGGAATTGGGACAGGCAATTTCCAGATTGAGAGCAGCATTCCCAGATTGCGTGGTAGTTTTGCTGAGCTACTGTCACTGCCTCGAGTATCGAAGAGGTGTGTTGAGGATTGCAGAATTGCCAAACAACCCTTTTGATCACATGAACGTCACATCTGAGAGGATCGGGACTGGCGGGAAGCTTTTCACGTTGGGGACGTTGGCTCATCAGTCTTGTGGCATTGCTCAAACTGATGACGCTACGGACATTGCAGAAGAATTCTGAAGTGCGAGGGGCCGTCATCCCAAATATCCTGTTTGTTGGGGCCAAGGTTCCACGACACTGGAGGCACCAACGGCTGATTCAGACGGAGTGGAAGCGCAACGTGTTGGAGGCAATCGAGCTGGTCCAGAGTCTAGAGCAAGTTGCATTCCATCCAATCCTTGCCCGATAGATCGCGACATTGGGTAATTTGGAAATTTTGACACAGGGTCTTGCCGACCGGCAACACAGCGGCTTGTATAGCATAGAACGAAGTGATTGAAAACAGGGTGTGATCCAATCCAAAGGTTTGTTGAGCATTACCCTCCAAAAGTGTATACCATACCCGAGGGATTTGGCATCGACCTCGTATCACAGGTTTTGACCCCTTTGTTTTCAAAGGTCCGGCATTTTCCTAAGTAGTGTCAGCCTGCGTCATGCCAACCATAAATGTGAGAACTATGAGAGCCCCGGAATCAGAAGAGTCATGTCTGCAAATCTCATCAACATTGCCAGAGCAGTTGGTTCCGTCGATTCCTTCCAGGGCACTCCATGTAAAGAAATCTAATACAATGCAGAGCGCAACAGAGAGTGCATCCCGAAGTAGCAGCCAAGGGTCTAGGCCTCCAACAGGTCAGTCATCCAGGGGGATCACACATCCAGGGAGATCACACATCCAGGGAGTCCAACAGGTCAGTCATCCTGGTCCATTCCCAAGACCAAAGGTCTTACTCCCAGCACCGTCAGGACCAGAACATTGTCTTGCAAGATCAGCGGACCTTCGTCCACAATCAGGATCAGAGGCAGCTTCAGGTCACGGTTGGGGTGGATCCGGATGTTGTGGTAGCCCGCGAAATTTCAGATCATGTCCCAAGCTCATGCTGCTGTAAGTGAGGCTAGGAGTCGTGAATCCCAAATTAGGTCAGAGGCCAGTGCTATTGTAAGTGTGGCTTGGAGTCTATTAGAGTCCGAGTCTCATGCAATGCGAACGCAAGTTGAAGTGTTGCAGCAACAAGCACAACTTCATACCAAAGGTGTTGAAAGTAGGGCCCATGATCCAATCTCAGAGATGCAAACCAAGCGTCAACAGGAGATAGATAGGATTCAGCAGATTTCCAATGAATCTCATCAGAATTCTCAACAACTGCTGCACGATGCGCTCCAAGAAAACCAAGTGTTTGTAGAGAAGCTCAAAGAGCAAGAGTATCTACTTAACCAACAAAGACATGAACAAACAGAAATGCGTTCAGTAATCCAAGGGTTGCGGTTGCAGCAACAAGTCGACGCAATGCGCTCCCAGCCAGTCGTTTTCGAAAACCGAACACCTGAAAATGCCGCGGTAAACGAAAGTGAGCTGGTTCAAGTGTTATGATATTTATAATGCAATTGCAGAATGATGTCAGCATTTTGCAGAAGCGTCCCACGATTCCAATTGTTGCACAGCCTCCAGCTCCTATCCCAATTAGAAACCACACGGTGAGTATGCTACACCTATGTCAGCGACGTCCGCATGTGCCGGATTTGATCCTGATGCGCCTACACCCAAGTCCCGAAAGAAGCCTGGGTCTGGTAATGGTCGTAGTAATGCGGGTGGGGTTCCAGCCAAAACACTGTTGTCTTTGTCAACAGCATCCATTACACCTGCGCAGGTTGGATCGCCAAAGGGGTCAAGTGACTCGTCGTCGGACAGTAGCGGGCGTGGCGGAGGTGGCCCAGGGCCGCCACAGGGTCCACCTGTTTGTGGGGGCCCTTTGTCGCCACACGCTCATGCAATGTCTGTTGGTGTTGGATAAAATGTTTTGGGTTTTACATCCGAAAAAGATGTATCGTTTCAAGGACTTATCTTTGATAAAGATTGATAGCCTTCTGGCTTCAGCTGCAGAGGTTCAGGTCATGGAAAAATACGATACTCACTAGGATTGCTGCGATCGGCCAGGCTGGCTCAGATGTTGTGATGAGCTGGCTGTTGGAATGTTTCACTGAAGGCTTGCAACTGCAGGACTTTATGCATAGTGGTTTTCTCTCACGTTGGGACATGCACATCGATTCGCTCATGATGGATCGGAAACACCTCAAAGGGGAGTTAGGGATGCAGTTCCCAACATATGCAGGGTCTTGTCAAAATGCAGGCAAGGCACCCCGTGGCTGTGCCTTCGTTTTCATGTTGAACCAACATTTCAGACTTGATCTCAACAGGGGCAGTAATCTTACCCAACAAGCCTTGCTAGACCTGTCTCCAGATGGATTTTCAGCAAAGGACTTGGAGAATTTTATCCACAAAATCGATTATGTGTTGAACGCAATTCCAGAGTCACATTAAATTTCCGAGACAACTCGTTTCACTTGCTTGAATTCCCGTGTGAAAAGATGCAAACTTCTTCAGAGGCGCATCGATCGCATCCGAGACTCCAAGGAAACGTCCAAGACGAGAAGTTGGGAGTGGCCCATGAACAAAATAATGACTGTAGTTGCTGAATCTCGTGAGAACCAAAATTACGAGTCCGTTCGGGCGTCACTGCAGCCGAAAGCCAAACCGGCGCTAAAGGCGGCCGTGGCCAAAGATGACCCCAAAGGTAGCAAAGATGGTACTAAAGGTGGGAAGGGTGAGGATTCCAAAGGTTTGCCAAGCCCAACTTCACATCCCAAGGCAAAGCCAAAGGCGAAGCCCAAAACCAGTGACGAAGGTTCCAAAGGTGCCGGTTCTGGCAAAGGGGATGGCAAAGGAAAAGGTAAGTCAAGGACTGATGAGAAGAAAGACGCAAAGCCGAAGCCAAAGGCTAAGGCATCAAAGGTTCCTTGTTTGTTTTATCCAAAGGGTACTTGCAATCGAGGTGATCAGTGTCCTTTCCTCCACGAACCAAAAGCAGCAGCCAAGCCAAAGGCAGCGGCAACTGCAAAAGCAACCGTAGCATTCGTTGTGGGTTCAGACATCCAGTGTGTCCCATCAAGCATCGGATGAGACTTTGAAGAAATCGGCCTGGTCGGTGTTCAAGTCGACTATAAATGCAATAGTTCGTCCTTTTATTACAACGATGTCCTTTGCATTTGGTTTGCTTGACGCACAGGGGCTTGCAACCATTGCAACACTGTGCAATAGCAATGGCGTAGGTGTCAAAGATGCCTGCCCTTGTGTCCTTGCCATCCTGTCGCATCAGCCAGCCATGTTTGCTCAGTCAACTAGCTCAAAGAGTCTTGAGATTGAGCGGATTGCAGATAGTGGCGCCGTTCGTGACCTAGGTTCTGAACACGCATTCTTTCAGCAAGGGTTGTCAAAAGAAGTCACCAATAATCATACCATTACTTTAACGCCAACTAGATTTGAAACGGGTAACGGGACTTACACTATGGAGGCCGCTTCGCATCAGATGATGTTCAAATTTCTGCTGATAAGCGTAAGCTTCATTATGCAGATCGGGTTGATGATTTCGTTCCAATTTTCAAAGAGCAGTTGCAATTTTCAGAGCGCCTTGCCGGTGAAGTTGCGTACCGCTTGCACACCCTCTGGGGCGGCCAGCACAGGTTGGTCCAGATGTTCCAGATCATTCATCAGATGGTGATGACGAAGGTAAGGAACCCACTGATCGCATGCGTAGGCTTGTAGCCGATGCAGAGTTATTGCAACACAAACTGCTTGCATTGTCCGAAGAATCCAGCATGCCCGATCTGCAATCGATCTCGCATGCATCGCAAGAAGGTGAGAAGGTTCAGACAAGATCCTTTAGAGGACAGGGGGGCTCTTGACCCGACTACCCAGTTCGGTCTGCGGATCGCCGCAGACTTCATCATTGTGCAAAAGCTCAGCAGTGGGAAAGAGCACCGTGTTCAGGTCATCAGGGATGAATACAGTGGACGGGTGCGTGCATATCCAATGTTCAAGAGAGACGCCGCATACGATAATCCCTTTGTCATGGTAAAGTCAGACCAAGCCGCCGAAACGAAACTTGCATGTAAGCAACTGGCCTGTGAATTTGAAGGAAGTTTGGAAAACAGATTGCTTCATAATGCTGCCTTAGAACTGGACATTCGAACACTGCAGGAAGTCACCCATGCGTGTCATCCCCAAGCAGGTTTCGACATAGTGCCAGGTCTTTGGATTCATTCTGTTGAGTTTGCAGCAACGATGTTGAATGCAAAGCACATCGCGTCCGGAAATGCTGAAACACGCCATAAGCTAGCAACCGGTTCTGAGTTCAATTGCAGAGAGTTGCTTTTGGGACAATTGGTGCATTACAGGGTTGACCCACTCCAAAGGGGAAGTTCGATGCATCATCAAAACCTGGTTTGTTTTGTGATTGGCGTTTTGATTCTGGACCCAAATCTTTCAAGAATGTTTATTACGTTTGGATTGCAATAAGGTCAAGAATCAAGAGAGCGGTTACACCCACGCAATTGCTGTCCCAGCAGAGAAACTTTTTGTCGAAGAAAAAGAAACCGTGTTACCATTTGAAGTCTGCGTCCGAGACTGCCTTGGCCAACTTTGGTGATGCAAAGCTTGAGGACATAGCGCCGTTGGATATCCCATTTTCTAGCATATCCCAAGAATCAAAGATTGATTCCAAGAAATAAGTACATAACCCTTGATAGAATCATCAAGTATGGAGCAACACCCGGTCCTAGAGCATGTGCCTTTTCCTCCGAACATAGCATTCACAAGCCCATTTGCTGTGCACGCTTCAATACGTTGATTCCCGCAGATAGGATAGCTTCAGGGACCAAGACTCCCGTGAGTCCAAGATCTATTGCACCGCAAACACCTTTGCCAGTAACCGATGTTGCCAGTGCTGGGGTTGAAGAATGGGGTGTTAGTGATCATGCGGGAGAAGCAACAGATGAGCCTGTTCAGGACGCTGATGGACAGCTGCCATTCAGCGCCGGTATCCCGCCCGGTGAATCCGAGCCAGCATTGATCAACCGTGTTGCATCCACGATCGATGAAGCATTCGTGCGATCGAGCGTCGAACGTGCAAAGCACAGACGCATGAACACACTCTTCGGAAACAATACACTCTTCGAGTTTGCATGTTCAGGTGATTCAATCACCGGGGGACAAGCTGAAGCTGTTGGGGTTTCGTGCATCACGTTGGGCCGTTCCACATTGGATTTGTGTAACCCAGAACATGTACAACAAGCCGCTGGTCAACTTGAAGCATTGCCAGGTGCTGATGCATGTGCATCCGTGACGTGCACACATCATTCACCTATACAGAACCTCAACATACACAGGCATGGGAAACCATACCAAAAGAAACCCAGAAAGAAACAAAAGGAGTCAGAACAATTGCTTCAGTATGCCATTCAATTCCTTGAGAGAGCTTTAGAGCTTGGAGGTCATGCCGCATTCGAGCTGCCGGCAGAGAATGCGCTATGGAAGAATCAACGCCTGCGTGCTTTTGAAGAAAGGGCTTGTATGAAACGTGTATATCTCCATGGCTGCGCCCTGATCTTAAAAGGAAAAGATGGTAAACATGTCAAGAAGCCATGGTGTGTATCGACAAGTGATCTGAGATTGATCCAGTTCCTTTCGCAACATGTCTGCAATGGAGACCATGATCGTGAAGAGGCCTTAGATAAGAATGCTGCCCAAGCAGCGTACTACACGCCTGAGTTTGCCAGTACACTTTTAGAAGCTTGGTATCTTCAAAAAGGTGCAGGAGCGTGCCAAAGCTAGATTCAGCATCAGCCCTAGTGACACTGAACCTGTCGCGGTCAGCGTGGCTGCAGGATGAGAAAGGTGTTCAAGCCGTGCTCAAGGAGGCGCAAGGGTTGAGAGACAATGGGACATGGGACGATGATTCCGTAATCCCAGTAACTGAGTTGAGGCGAAATGCAAGACAGAAAGGTGAGAAGATCAAGATCGCTGAAGTGTTGACACTATGTGGCATCAAACATCATGAAATGTCTCCGTAGCATCACCGCTGCAGCGTCAGATGCCAGAACCGTCCAATAAAAGTTGAAGTCAGCGCCAGCTCCGTGCTTGCCTGAACGGTCAATGTCAGATGCAGACTTCATGCGAGAAGGGGTATTGCATAAGCACGCTGCTCGCATTCGCATGAGGTGCTTGTGGTTGTCACGGCTGGCGAGACCCGACATCAGTTCTGCTGTTGGAAGGTTAACAACAAGGGTTTCCAAATGGACAGCTTGGGAGGACAGGCAAACCTTGCGTTTGATTTGTTATCTCAATTCCACTCGGAATCATGTTTTTCGGGATCTGTTGATCCCACCGAGAAACCTGAGCTGCTGGTTTTCACCGATTCAGACTTTGCATCGTGTCCATATACATGCAGAAGCACGTCTGGGGTAATCTATCTTATCAGAACGGGAGGAGCGTACCCAGTCCTCTGGTCATCACGAAAACAAGGTTCGACCGCTCGGTCATCCACAGAAGCTGACTTCATCGCATTTGCAAGTGCGCTGTTCGGAGAAGCTCTGAATCTCCATGAGATGGCCGAGTGCATCATCGACATGGTAGTCCCTGTTAAGTTTGAACAACACAATCAACCTGCAATCACAGTCATTCGATCTGGATACAGCGCAAAACTGCGCCATCTTGGTAGAGTGCGCAAGGTCAGTATCCAAAGTGTGAACGAGCAACTTGAGAACAACACGTTCAATCTAGAATACTGTGAGACCTCCATGCACTTTGCGAATGGATTCACGAAGATCATCTCTAACGGAGTTGAATGCCAAACCACTCTGCAACAACTATGCATTCAACCAGCCTCGTAGATTTACATCCCTGAAATCTGTGCTGACTGCAAAGCAAGAAGCACTCGGGAATTGAATGTATGGCTGCTAGCCGGGATGAGGGGTAGTTGTGATATGTCATGTGAAATAGCCATAGGGCATCCCTATTATCATCCCTTGTATCTAGCTCGTCTTTCCAGCTGTGAAGAACTCATTTTGGCATTGACACCTTTACATTTGGCTCAAGCACTGCGGTACAAGTCACTTGCCGTTGTTGCTTGCATTTGGTGTCGTAAACCCCCTACTTGGCTGTGGTAGGTGGGCTTAACTGTAAAAAAAAACAAATGGGTGGTTTATGGCATTGTTTTTCCCACATTAGTGTCAATATGTTCAAATTATATTGCTGCAATGGCCCATCAAAAACACCTCCACCGCAACCCCGAAACGCCACTGTGGCGTTTCAACATTCACGACCCCTTCAGGCGTTTCTGGAAGTCTGGGAATCGGTCCTCCAAATGGCCGTCCCTGTGGATGAGCATAATGGATCGTCATCTCCAGAGGCGAATCAACGGGTGAACGGGTTGTCGGCCCGCACTATGGTGGATCAATGGATACCAATGGATATCAACAGATAGCAATGGATATCAATGGTTATCATAAATCAATGATTATTTTATTGGAATCATCGAAAAACATTGTGATTTCAGCCATTGACGGACGGTTGAAATGGTGTGTTGACTAGTACATATGGATTGGGATGGATATGATGATGCTTAGAAGTCGGGTTGAAATGGTCTGAAATAACTCCCTTGCTGTGGTCAGCAGTTTTGGATAGTTTTGGGTCGAGAGAGATCCAAAATCACGTTTGAAAAGTGAAGATCGGCAAAGTATCCTTGAAACTGATTTAGCCCACTCCCCCATCCTTTTTCAGGAAACCCACATATGGATAGATATATCATATGGCGATTCAACATGGTTCAATTATATTCAATTATCTATTCGCCTTGCAAAAATCCCGCAGTGTACCTGGTTGTGCCCATGGCAGCTCCACATTTCATGGGTTGCTCCAGCAGGACGGGAAGTCCGTCTTCATTTTTCAGTGAGGTCGCCACCAGAGCGAGTCAGCACTGACGCCCTCCAAACTTGACCGGGAGAATTACAACTTTAGATAGTTTAGGTCTGCCTAGGTATTCAGGTATTCAAATAGCAACCAGAAAAGATCAAAAGTCATCTAAAGTCAAAATCTATGGTTCTCAGATGTTCAGCGTTTTAATTTGTGACACAAAAAATGATCACCTTCTAGCCTCCATCAGCTTGGTGGGTCCAGAATGCATGGGCAGCCCACTGTATCACTCGGTGGGCAGCCATCAAATCTTTAATGTGCACGATCCATGCCACTTGGCAAAAACGACCTGGTCATGCAGTGGCTTTCAGGAACCAGAGAAGGCATTGCGTACCTTTGGGAACAACGATGGAAATCACGACTGGAGATTTGAAGCAACCTTTGATGGATCTGAATTGTCACCAATGAATTCTCTAAAACATGAAGCTGGAGCAGATTTTAATCCTCTCATCCTCCAACCGGCCGGGGCCCGGGCCCACATCGTGGCACGCGTGGCCCAAGCCTCAGGGATGTGGGGCTCACAGAGTTTGTCTTTGTTTTTACGATTTGACCATCCCAAAAATCTAAAATAATTACTACCATTTATAAAATTTTATAAACCCAAAAGTGTTGAAATGGATGGAAAAGGGGAGGTCAATGGGTGGGAAAGACATCACCTTGATTGTGAGCCAGCAGGCTCACACGTTTCCTAGAAATGGTTAAATGCTATAAGGGGTAATGAAATTGTACAGTAACTTTCATGAAATCCCCAGGTCTGAATGGTACTTGTATGTACATAGAACCATGGTTTCCTGCTTTTGCTCAACCGAGCTCAACCCAGCACATACCCACTTTAGCACCTGAAAACATTCCATCACACAAAAGCGCCTTGGGTTGGTCCAAAATTTCGGGCCATCCTGTTGATGGCCAGTTGATGGCTGTCATTCTTTCGCAACTCTTTGGGATGACCCTATGATTTTGGCGAGCTGTTTTTGTGTCCTTGCGATTATCTAATTGGATGTGGGTCAAAATGGAAGACCTAGGGGACCACAGATGTTAGTCTAGTTTAGTATTAACCATCCAATTATTGGGGTACCTAATTTTGACCCATACCCAATTGTTTTGGTCAAACATGTTCGAATTCTAATGTAGTTTCCCATGGCACCAAACTTTCCAAAGACATCCGAGGTTGGCACCTGATCTTGGCCATGCTTCGATCCAGGTTTCATCCGTTTTTCGATGGATACCCCGATGGCCAGAAATGTGGCAAATGAGGTTCTAAACCATGGCAAGTCTGATTTGGTTGGATATGTCAGATGGATGATGCCAAATTCTAATGGCAAATATTGGCAAATATGAAAATTGTCAACCCTTTGATATCTGCAAGATTCTGGAAGTAACTGCCACTATTCAAGACCGGCCGTCCCAACAACTGCAAAACTTTCCAAATGTCCACAAGACAGATGACAAAAAAAAACATTGAGCAGTTGATCTCTGCATTCTTTGAGGGGGGAATGAAGCGGTTGGAGTATCCATCCATGTTTTTGGCACGCCCATCTCAGTTCAGAGCCATGTACAGTTGCTGCAGGCTACTTCTTGTGCTTGGACTTCTTTTGCTGGCCTGACACCCAATTGATCCTTGCACCAGCCATCCCCAAGCCACGTTTTCCATGAGCTGAGCAACATCCAGATGATTGATACTTTGCGTTGCAATGTGAACCGAAGACATCCTGAGATAAGGAGCTGTGAATGATTGGAGTCTCAAAACCACCCGGGTCCCGAATGGATTTTGCTCCGCTGCGGCAGCCAGACTCAAGTTTCCAAAATGAATATTCTGCGGGAAGTTCCCTTGCAAAAATGTAGGAACGTCCCTGAAAAGAAATCCTATGAAAGGTCCCCAACACAATCGAAGGTCCCTCTCCTGGATACGTTTCTTTAAAAGAAAACCTTTCGGGGGAAGTTCAATAAGAAAATCCCGCATGTTCTATCATGTTCTAAGGAATTATTTGAGGAAGTTCTCAACCATCCCCCAGTCCGAAAAGAGTCTTAAAAATCAGACAGCCATTTCATTTCCTTTAAAAAGTGGTGACCTAAGTGGTTGAAGTTCCTCAAGAAAAGCACCAATTGAAGCGTTCTTGAGCATCGCTAGGGAAATTCTCTACAAAACCTCTGAAGGAAGTTCCCCAAAAAAATTGGAGGAAGTCGACTAACTAAGTCAACTGATGCCGAGGCAGTTGCCTCATTCAGACCGTGGGGATCACAGGGAGATGTTTTTTGGATATTGGAGTTGCAGACCGATGACGCCATGGAGATTGGGAATCACCATGGAATCATTGATGTATTGATCTAATATGTTTATATATATTGTATATATATATACATACATACATACATAAATTGTATATATATACATAAGATACGGTCAGAATAAGCGTAGACATGCGTAGACTATGTTGGCAAGGAGGGGCGCAGTTGTGTTGAGAAAGTGCACCAAACCATGTAAAGCGACGGGGCCCCCAAAAACGATAACGTGTAACCAGATATGAGAGTGTGTTAAACTTGGTGTTAACCAAACAAATATTGTTGTGTACCTTCACGCAATGGGCAAAATTGATGAAGCAAATGCAACCTGCAGTGCCCGTGTTTCTTGCGATTGCCCTATCATTTGCTGTCCAAGGTGATTGAACCATTGCTGTCTGCAGGCAGTTTGTTTCTTTTCCCAGGTCCCAAAGCGGTAGAAATAAACTAAACGAAATGCAATTGAATGCTCAAATGGAGCAAAAATAATGTTTGATCTAATTCTGAATTCCGTTTATGAGCTTTTATTCAATTCGACTTTCTTCTCCTTTTCTTTTTCTTTCCTTGTGTTCTTCCTTTTATGTGTTTTTAAGATTGAACGCAAGTGAACTGTGAATTGAATTAAACAGTAACATGATTTAAAATTGTCCTTTCTGAATCAAATTCTGAGTTGAATCGTTGAATTTGTCCTGTCACCTTTGTTTTCCTTTCTTGTTCCTTCCTTCATTCTTCCCTTTGTTTCTTCAATGTTCCTTCTTGTTCCACCTTATTCTTTCTCTTCCTTTCTTGATCATCAAGGTGTTTTAAGTTAGCGATAACCTTAGCGATAACCTAGCGAGAACCTTTTGTTGAAAAAGGGACCCCGGACGAGGGATAGGCTCATTTGTTTTTATTGGCATTTTTCCAAAATACCAGACAAGCAACAAGAATATCCTTACAAAAAAGCAAAGAACCCCTAATTTTGGAAATCTTTGATGAAGCTGTTTTAGACATCGTTGATGAACAGCAATTCCGTTGCATGTTTGTATTATTTAGCGTTGATTTGCACAAAACACTGTAAAGCGATAGGGCCCCCCGAAGAAAAACGATAACCAACATTCTTGCACCAGGCGTAAACAATTGATTTTGACGGCGCCTCATATATATATATATATATACCATGTTTGAGCACATACTTCAAAGAAGCTGGGAATGTTCTATATCCCATGAAGACGATGGATATTCCAAGCTGTACTGTACTTTTTTTCTGCTGGTGTTCATTGTCTTGACCCAATTGCAGGAAATCATAGAAACAAGTCCATTTGATGGTGAGCATATGTTCATCAGTCGGCCCATCTTCATACAACCTTTGGATCAATCAAGGGCAATGAAAGCTCCCTGGTTGGTGGTTTGGAACATGGCTGGATTATGACTTTCCATTCAGTTGGGAATGGAATGCCATCATCCCAACTGACTTTTAGTCCATGATTTTTCGGGGTAGGTCAACCACCAACCAGATATATATTTTTTTGGAGGTTTCCTAGAATGGGGGTACCCCAATAGCTGGATGGTTTTAAAAAATCCTACTAAGTGGTGCCCCATAGTTAGCTAAGTTGGTTAGTAATTCCAATAACTATGGTTTATGGTAGGTATATCTATAGTATTCATGGGGTTTATAAACCAACAAACATCACTGGGGGGCATCACATTGTACTAAGTTGGTGAAACCACCAACCAGCTCCTCCCAGGCAAAATGCCAGCATCGCAGTGGGGGGGCCCAAAGTTGCTGGGAAATCTCCATGGAAAATCGACGAAAAAGCAGGGATACCCGGCCTGGGAAACGTTGACAAAAAGCTATTGAAAATGGCCATAGAAATAGATGAATTTACCCATGAACAAATAGTGATTTTCCATAGTTAATAGATGAAATAGTGAATTTACCCATGAAAAATGGTGATTTTCCATAGTTATGTAAACGTTTACCAGAGGGTAATCCATGTGCATATCATGGATGTTCCTCTGAGATGCGGTTTCACGAACGTGACGGGGCCTGTTGATGTGTCTTGGGAGGTTTTCTTATGTTTTCTTTTTCCGCCCTGTGGGCGCTGGAACAAGAACTGGATCTCCCAAAATGTGTACCCTCTGACTCATGGATTATGGCGAAAAAGTTGCGAATGATCACCACAAATGTGTACCCTCTGGTAAACTAACATAGCTATTGAAAATGGCCATAGAAATAGTGGATTTTCCCATTAAAAATGGTGATTTTCTATAGCTATGTTAGTCATTACCAGAGGGTAGTTTTCTCAGAGTTGTGACCCACTCAGGGTGTCACCTGTCCACCACCAAACCAAGCTTAGGACGCCTTGCTGCGTCGTGGTGGTCGACGTTTCGCCAACAAGCGATTCAGGGTGTGGGCTCAGATGGGGTACCCTGAAGGGTACCACTTTTATCATGGGGCCATAGGGTTTCCAAATTATCCCAAAATGTATTGTTATAATGGGAAAAAGAACCATTGAAATGGATTGAAATGGATGATTTATGAAAACCCTCATATTTTATCTCATTGATTTAATAGAGAACTATAGAGAACTCTTCTGGGTTCAATTTTTGGGCACCTGAAATCATCATTTTTGTCGCGTGGAGTGGATTCGAATATTTGGATGACAGGCTTCAGTGGTTTTTCCACGTATCCCTCGCTGGGGATGACTGGAGAGCGGTTGCTGCTAGCAGGGGCGAAGAGCGCGCTAGTTGAGATCTGGGACTTTGTTTTCCAGTCTATAAAAAAGATCCTGTTTGTCCCTCCAAGCCTTTTGGAATGTCACGATATATTTCTAAAAGTGGATCAATATGATCCAAAACACCCCAGGTTGATCAAACTGATCGAACACACTAGAACGTGTCAAGCTTTACTCAAGATGACCTTCAACATTAAGAGGAATGGAGAAGAAATGGATGAAAATGATATCCATTGGATCCAGCATGATCCATATCACATAAAATATCTAAAATTACTTTACTTCGTGTGATCCCCACCATGACATTTATACATTTTGTTACTGGCAAATCTTCTGGCATTCTATCTGACATTTTATCTGGCATTCTATCTGGCATACCTTCTGGCATTCTATCTGGCATATCTTCTGGCATTCTATCTGGCATATCTTCTGGCATTCTGCCTGGCATATCTTCTGGCATATCTTCTGGCATTCTATCTGGCATTCTATCTGGCATATTATCTTGCAAATCTTCTGGCATTCTATCTGGCATTCTATCTGGCAAACATGCTGGCACTTTATCTGGCATACCTTCTGGCATTCTATCTGGCATATCTTCTGGCATTCTATCTGGCATATCTTCTGGCATTCTACCTGGCATATCTTCTGGCATATCTTCCGGCATTCTATCTGGCATATCTTCTGGCATATTATCTGGCAAATCTTCTGGCATTCTATCTGGCAAGCATTCTGGCACTTTATCTGGCATATCTTCTGGCATTCGATCTGACATTTTATCTGGCATTCTATCTGGCATACCTTCTGGCATTCTATCTGGCATATCTTCTGGCATTCCATCTGGCATATCTTCTGGCATTCTATCTGGCCGTTGAGGTCCAGCGGTGCACACTGAGCTGGGCAGGTCCCAGGTTGAGGTCCAGCAGTGCACACTGAGCTGGGCAGGTCCCCGGTTGAGGATCAGCGGTGCACACTGAGCTGGAACGGTCCCAGGTTGAGGTCCAGCGGTGCACACTGAGCTGGGAAGGTCCCAGGTTCAGGTCCAGCGGTGCACGCTGAGCTGGGAAGTTGGCAAAGAGCTTGGCGCAGAGAGTCGGCGAAGAGAGTTGGCAAAGAGCTTGGCGAAGAGTTGGCAAGGCGGAAGTGCAGGTGGAAGTTGATGCAGACATGGTCGAGGAGAAACTGAAGGAGGAGGCGAGGAGGAGGACGAGGAGGAAGAGGACAGCTAGTCGAGGAGGAGGAGGAGGAGGACGAGGAGGAGGAAGATGAGGCGGAGGAAGAGCGCTTTGATAAAATCTAACAACCGTCACCTGGCAGGTGGGAATCACAAAAATCGGTTCTGGAAAGGTAGGAAAAGAGAAACCAGAGCAAGAGGCACTGCGTTGCTGCAGCCCAGGATGCACGCAACGGCGAGGATGACGAGGCCGGGATGCAAAACCGTGGACTACAGAATCTGTTCAAGCAAATTAATACTAATTGGACGTATCGGACTTTGGATTAAATTGATTAAATATAATAGGTATTTGATGGTATTTGTGTATTTTGGATATTGGGGCATTTGAACATTTGGATATGTGCAATGTTACACAGTGTATTTATACATACATATATAATTATATACATATATATATAATATATATATACATTACATGAAGTCGTGTTGAACCGCACTGCAACGTTTGACCGTTTGATGCGTTTAATATACTTGACACGGATACCGCTTCTGGATACCTCACGTGGGGCTGCGCCGTGCAATGTGTATATAGAGTCCGAGATGTGAAGCATTGGATATCAGAAATCAAGAGGAATCCTATGATTATTAAATATTATTATTGTTCAACCTATCATGAATAATGAACATTGAATCATAAATATTGTTAAACCATGTTAAACCCAATCAGAGACCATTTTTGTACGTGCGCTTTTTGGGAGGTTTGACATAACCTTCACAACGTTGGGCTGTATGCTGTTTTATGATGTTATTTGTGAATTTAAGCCAACGCCATAAATCGCCAATTTTTTGGGATGGTTTAGACTTTAGACTCTTCAGACCGTCCATACATGTCTAGCATTTTTTTGCGGACGATTGTTGGGTTCACATGCATTTACCAAAAAAATACTGTGGTCGTGGATAAAAATAGGAAATCCATCATGATTTCGTCCCAAAATACGGTGGTTAGGATATCCATCATGATTTCGAAAATGGGGATGGGTCAAAACCCTATCCCCCTGTAGTTCACATCAAAATAGCTGGGATTTATGGATGTTCATCCCCCTAAAAATGGTACTCGTATGTATAGGTATTGATCCATAGCCAAATGATTGTTTCGGATTTGAATCTGCACCGGATTCACCTAGCTGGTCACCAAAAATGCCAGGATCGTCGCCGTCGACGCCACAAGGTGTCACGGCGTGGTGGCGGCGCGCATCGACTGCGCTCCCACAGTGGGATCCCTGGGAGGTGGTGGATTCCACGTGGGTTGCAGCGTTTGCGCAATGGTGGATAGCCTTATTAGGTCATATTATGTCATATAATGTCATATGATCGTTTTTTGTATCCCTTATTTTTAGGGCAAGTGTGATCAAGATATGATACATATGATGAACATATGATTATTAACCTGGTTGGATGTGCCTACTGAAATGTTACATGGTTTCGCCACATTTTATGGAGTCTTCCAAGATGATTTTGGGTGTCCATGGAGACGCCAACTCTGGGAGTTCTATGTGCCAATGAGAAATCCGCCATACAAATATCATCAAATATCTCTACTAGTAGCATTGAGCATTCTACAAATGTTTCTTTATAAATAATTATAAATAGATATATATATATATATAGCATGGAGCTTTTGCATATCGACATTTGACTATGTTGTGGTAGATCCTGTGACCACCTTGTAGTGCATTCCCCAAGCGCGCCACAGGTCGACGGCATTGAGCCGCAAGAAAGAACGCTGCTAGGTGAGCAGACTGTGAATATTTCCTGGTGCAAAGGATTGCCAAAAAGCTGTGGTCATTTAAGATAGCTATTGGACATTGCCATTATAGTTGGTTTGATTACCCATGAAAAAGGGGTGACTTTCCATAGCTATGTTAGTTTACCAAAGGGTAGACCATTTTCTGCCGGGTGCCATTGTCATTTTATATTGAAATGCCGCAAGATGTTTCTGCAAGGTATGTATCACTATGTTCGGAACATATACGGGCTTTGTACTGAAACTTTGAAATCTGTCAGCTTTGTACAATGAGATTGTGGTTGCTACATAGTTTTTCAATCCGCCTTTCTAGATGTCATCCAGATGGCAATCCTATTGCAGATACAGCAATAGAGCTCCCAGATTTCGCTGGCGCTTAACGAAGAATTATCAAAAGCACGGGTGCCACCGTCTGTGTATATAACGGCAAATAGAGTACAAAATATGACAACCCGTTCATATCATGTGAATTCATATGATTGTTTAACCATTCATATCCACATTGATATTTCCATGCCAAGCAACTTATTCCAAAGGTATGCAAAAGGTGGGAGCCCAAGCCAGATCAGCACAGATCTTTAAGGCCTCGAACCCTTGTTCGCCAGCAAACCCACAGTGCCACAGCGTATCAAAAAGGACAACTTTTTTCGCCGCATGGCTGCCATAGACCTACCATGACTGTGGATGGTTGGAATCCCACCCAAAAAAAATGGTGATGTTGGGGATGGTTGATGATAAGGGCTTTGTACACATTATTTTAGTTGTAAATTGTACTGGTAGCATTCCTGACTGACAGACCCTAGCCAAGTGTTGGCTACAACTAATAAAGTCGGAATCCAATTTTCAGTGATTTTGGGGCCAACAGCTTTGGAAGGAAGCCAACAGATCTAACAGCATGCGAGAACAGTGTGTTTCAAGGCCCCTGTTCATCCTGTTCCAGACCATGGCAACTTCCCCTCATCTGCAGCTGCTTGCCATACAGCTACGAGTTCTTACTCAATGTCCACCAACAGAAGCAGAGTGTAACCGTTGGACCGCAAGAGTCTACTATGCTAATCGATTGTCGATGGCAAAGTCTTCAAAACTTGCAAATCGATAAACAAACATGGCTTCCTGGAAAATATCCCGCCGATTCGGTTTGTAGCTGATGTTACTACTGGAACTTGGACGTACCATTGCCAGCCCTCCTATCAGACTTCCAAAGCTTACGGGTGCTCCCAGAACACCCCGCAATGGTGTCCGCCGGCCCAGAGTGAGAAGAGCGGCTTTGCGAGATATGGAGATGGATCAAGAATGATCAAGATATGTGACAGAACCTTTATTGTATATAGTTGATTGGTGTACCCTTTGGTAAACAAACATGGCTATTGAAAATGACCATAGAAATAGTGGATTTTCCCATTAAAAATCGTGGATCTTTCCATAGTTACGTAAACGTTTACCAGAGGGTAAATAGTACACATGGCCCCAAAGTTTCTGGGTCCCCCCAACCAGACCACCATCTTTGGGACGCAGCAGATGTTTCCATGTGAGACTCGAAACTGAAGGCCCGTTGGGCACTACACATGAGCTTGTTTACCATACTTACCCTACTGACCATCCCAGTGGATATGCACAACTTTTAACATGTGTTAACAACTAAACTAAACCATCCAATTCAGCATTTAATATACATATATATATGTATACAGTTAATATACGGTGGTCGATCTAAAGGTCCTTGTAAGGAGTTTTAATTGCGAAAGCCGTGCATGTTATGTTGGAAACCCTCGCGAAAGTTTTTTTTCGAGTTCGCGAAAGTAACATTTTGTTTCACGAAAGTTGGATATCATGATTGCCTAACATAGGTTCAGCGAAAGATAAACATGGAGTTCGCGAAAGTTTCGCGAAAGTAACATTTTTATTCGCGAAGAATGGCCGTTCCCGGATAAAGGAATTTTGATCAACAACCTAATACATATTACATCAGATTTAATATATATATATATTATACCATATGGTTGGGATCCTGCAGGCGTGAAGCCTGGGTACCGCCCTATGACGACTGGGCCAAGCAAGCCGAACGCGAAGCTGTGTGGTGCCTTCGAACAGATGGCGGATCCCTGGGATACCATCCCCGAAAAAAATCGCAACGCCCTGCCATTGTGTGGGTCTTGAAAGATGAGTTTCCACTAAAAGCGTTGGCTATTTTCAGGGTCTCATGGTGAATTTTGGGGGCAAACATGGTGAAACAGCAACAATGGAGGCGTTCCAGAATCAGAATGCTTTCATATGATTCAAGCATCAAAAATTGGGAGTATAAATGAAAGATAGTCAGTCGGATTTATTCCAGAGAAAATAGGTAACGGTTTTTACCCACAAAAGTTGTTGGTCAAGTCACTGGTGAATCATGTGCAGAATGGATTGAAGGAATAAATCAAGATGTAGCAACCCAGAAAAGATAGAGAAATGTAATCTACCATTAATATCCACTCATCACTTTATAATCAACTAGTAATAGGGATTGACTTTTCCATTTGCTGAGGGGGATTGCTACAGGAATACATGGAAACGTTGACAGGATATAGATGGATATAGTGGGATGTATGATCAGCATGAACCTACAGTATGGTATTCAGGTGTGTCCAGAAATGGGGATTTGATGGTATATTTGACTGGCAATATGCAATTTTCCTATGTTTAAAGGAAATGGAACTATAAATGATTATGGATAAATTCAATCGTGGCATCCCATTTTTGGACACATCTCAGATCAAATTTATGGGAATAGCTATAATTTCAAATATGCATACACACACATGCATCCATCCATCCCTCTAGGGCCACATCATGTTCCCGTATGCTTCATTTCCCGACAAGGCTGGATACTCCAGACTCCCCGCTTGCACCTCTTCAATCCCCAGCCTTTTGGCCCGTAAAAAACATCATTTCCCGTAAAAAGCCACGAGAACATCACGGGGGCCGTTCCGCAGTTCTGAGGTTTATCAAGTGGAGAAGCTCAGACTCTGATTTGGGCTTCAATTTTCTCTACAAGGCAGGAACTGTTGAAACTTTGGTTTGGTTCACAAATGTTCACAATATTTGAAGTCCCCCTGTTCTTGAACCATATTGCTGACACCAAATTGGAAAAGCTTGAAAGTAATTCAAGATTCAAGAGATCCCAAACAGTGTGGGGGGAGTGGGAGGATAATGTAGGATAGTGTTGAGGATGATGATGATGAAGCCATGGCCCAGAAGCTAGGAAGAACCCCTCAGTGTGGACACACTGTTTGGGGAAAAATGTGACTTTCGCGCAAGTCCCGGTAAAAATTGACGATACACCACCGTTGATGATTTCAAGTTGCATTTGCAAGTGTAATTAACCAAGTATGGTAGATATACATCTACATCTCCCATATTTACATATATATACATATACACATACATACACATACACATGTACATCATCACAATAGAAATATACATCATCACAATTGCTGCCATACTTGTACACACCGTTCCCTTGATGTTTTCGTTTCACTTTGCTCTCCTTTGACAGAAGGATCAGAACCTAAGTGTTTACATATGTTCTCTGTATGACTGTATGACCAATTGAGATTGTTTATATATATATATATGTATGTATATTTGTATGTGTGTAATGTAATGTAACGTAACGTGACGTAACGTAACTTAACGTAACGTAATGTAATGTAATGTGGTGTAATGCAATGCTATGCAATGCTATGTTATGTATGTATGTATGTATTTATGTATGTATGTACGTATAGACATGTTACATAAATATGGCTACAATTTATTGACATATATATATATAACATATATTAGCATTTTTATTAAAAGAACAGATAACCATATAATTTATATCAGTCCATTTAAGTAGCTTCAAACAGATAGCTTGTTTTTAGAGTGAAGGATGACCGCCAGGACGGCCAGAAGCGTCATCAGTATCCACGACGTGATGATTGGAACGATCAGGAGTTGTGGCAGGGCTCGGCTAATCGCAATGGCTATATCGTCGGTTATACCACAACCGACCAATCCTGAAACGTATCCAATCCTGAAACGATGCAAAGATGAGTTTTAGATGGGTTTACCATAGGGGATTTGGGTGAAATAATCGAAAATTGACACATTAAACTAATCACTATGAGGATAGAATGGAATATAATGGGATGTACTGTCTATGTGTATCTGTATGTGTCATTGTTTGTGCATATATAATCATTTAAATTATTTTAGAACCAAGAAGACCCAGTTTGTCAAACATGATTTGACAAAAGGCCTACCGCTGTAATTACCACTAAGTGGGATTCTTTGTTATAGCTTCTTGACAGGTGTTTTTTTTAATATGTAGCTGCCCTTCTAAACAATTCTACAAAATTGGCCGTCTGATGTGATCAATGGGGCCAGGTGTGTGCTCCCTACAAGAAATGGGGCCTTTCCGTTCCCCAAAAAAGTGGGTTGTGAGTAAAGGAATGTACATATAACATCATATAACATCATATAACATCATATAACGTAAAACATGTATCAGAGACTTGCAGCGGTGGTTGCCCAGAGGTTACTGTACATAGTTCATTTGCTAACCAAACTCTAGGCTTACAAATAGTGATTACAGCATTAGCATGGAGCTGACAAATGACACTGGGTTCTACCGCCGCCGTGTTGCAAGGTAGTTAGCAGGTAGCCAAGAGAAATCAGAGAAAAGAAATGACCAATAGAGCAGCAGTTTCTCAAAGACGACAGCTATCATATCTTTCAATATCTTTCAGATGTAATTTCATGAATTTCTTCCAATAACCTTGTGCAAAATGGGTTGGGCTAAAGAGTTGCGTATCAATGAGATTAAATGAGATGATTTTGTGTGAAGTTGTCCTAGTTTAGAGCATCCATCCCGTCACAAAGCTTGACGTCATGGCCATTACTCGAGAGGCTGGGCCAGTGGGGGTCGATTCACACCAGAACTGATGTCTTTCTGCAGTTTCAAATGTGTTTAATGGGTGTTAATGATTTTTAATGGGTGTTAATGATTTTTAATGGGTGTTCATTGGTTTTATCGGGCAAAAACGATGGACCTGGACCCGGCCACGGAAGATGAAACCTCCAAACAATTCCTTGGGGGCGCCCCGTTGCCAACATCCAGTTGCTGAGGCTGGGTTCAATGTATCCCGAGCAGACCGCTCCATCTCCGTAGATCATCGTGAGGCCCGTGGAGCTGAAGACAAAAATGGATGGACCGAAACGGGATAGCTGGGGGTCTGTCAACATTTGTCGACCATGTTCTAGATTCAAAGAAATAAATCAATTTTAAAAAAGTAAATTAATCAATCAATGAATGAATAAATTCATAAATAAAAAAATGCTTCTCAATGTTGACCCAGAACCGAATTTGTTCTTTTGAAGCGATGCATTGTGCCAATGATGGATGGGTTATTGTCACTTTGTGAAGCACATGTATTGGAATCCACCTTGAAGTTCGCAATTCAAGAACAATTAGGCCAATCGTAAGGCATGTGCAGGAGAATGGTGATCCATCAAGATAGCGCAGATGTTTCTATTTTGGAGACATATGCAAATTACATAAAATTACGATTTTTAATTACGCAAATAGAATCTGTGTATAAGTATATATATATATAAACATATAGACACCATACACAAAGGTTTTGCCAAATGCTGGCCAGTTGTGCCTTCCAGCACTTCCATTCATGAAAAAATCGACTGCAGGTGCGACTGTGCTGCAACTTTGCAGGTGAAAATTATTTGGAGGCACGATTGACACCCGGGCTCCAGTGATCTGGGCAAAGGCTCAAAGGCATGGGGGATGTAGAGGGAATCATTGGAAAATTATCCAAAAATGACATGTGTATGTAATTAAGGAAACATCATCCAATAATTATCCATCCATATCCATCCGAAAACTACCAATTTTAGCTATGTTTGTGAACTTTTCTAATTTTTCCCACAGCACAAGGAGCTAGCAACCCATTGGTTCCATCATCCCAGTGCCAGGGGATTTCCTTGTCATAACGACAGTGACGTCCTACGCATACTTCTATTAGGGGTTTCATTTAGGGTTTACATAAGTTATAGAATCCCCCGGCCCCATGGAACATACGAATACTTCTATTAGGGGTTTCATTTAGGGTTTACACAAGCTATAGAGTCCCCCGGCCCCATGGAACATACGCATACTTCTATTAGGGGTTTCATTTAGGGTTTACGTAAGTTATAGAATCCCCCGGCCCCATGGAACATACGCATACTTCTATTAGGGGTTTCATTCAGGGTTTACATAAGTTATAGAATCCCCCGGCCCCATGGAACATACGCATACTTCTATTAGGGGTTTCATTTAGGGTTTACATAAGTTATAGAATCCCCCGGCCCCATGGAACATATACGCATACTTCTATTAGGGGTTTCATTTAGGGTTTACACAAGCTATAGAGTCCCCCGGCCCCATGGAAAATACGCATACTATTAGGGGTTCATTTAGGGTTTACGTAATGTTATAAAATCCCCCGGCCCCATGGAACATACGCATACTTCTATTAGGGGTTTCATTTAGGGATTACGTAATGTTAGAAAATCCCCCGGCCCCATGGAACATACGAATACTTCTATTAGGGGTTTCATTTAGGGTTTACATAAGTTATAGAATTCCCCGGCCCCATGGAACATACGCATACTTCTATTAGGGGTTTCATTTAGGGTTTACATAAGTTATAGAATCCCCCGGCCCCATGGAACATACGCATACTTCTATTAGGGGTTTCATTTAGGGTTTACACAAGCTATAGAGTCCCCCAGCCCCATGGAAAATACGCATACTTCTATTACGGGTTCATTTAGGGTTTACATAAGTTATAGAATCCCCCGGCCCCATGGAACATACGCATACTTCTATTGGGGGTTCATTTAGGGTTTACATAAGTTATAGAGTCCCCCGGCCCCATGGAACATACGCATACTTCTATTAGGGGTTCATTTAGGGTTTACATAAGTTGTAGAATCCCCCGGCCCCATGGAACATACGCATACTTCTATTAGGGGTTTCATTTAGGGTTTACATAAGTTATAAAATCCCGCGGCCCCATGGAACATAGACGCATACTTCTATTAGGGGTTTCATTTAGGGTTTATGTAATGTTAGAAAATCCCCCGGCCCCATGGAACATACGCATACTTCTATTAGGGGTTCATTTAGGGTTTAAATAAGTTATAAAATCCCGCGGCCCCGTGGAACATATACGCATACTTCTATTAGGGGTTTCATTTAGGGTTTGAGTAATGTTATAAAATCCCCCGGCCCCATGGAACATACGCATACTTCTATTAGGGGTTTCATTTAGGGTTTACATAAGTTATAGCATCCCCCGGCCCCATGGAACATACACATACTTCTATTAGGGGTTTCATTTAGGGCTTACGTAAGTTATAGAATCCCCCGGCCCCATGGAACATACGCATACTTCTATTAGGGGTTTCATTTAGGGCTTACGTAAGTTATAGAATCCCCCGGCCCCATGGAACATACGCATACTTCTATTGGGGGTTCATTTAGGGTTTACATAAGTTGTAGAATCCCCCGGCCCCATGGAACATACGCATACTTCTATTAGGGGTTTCATTTAGGGTTTACATAAGTTATAAAATCCCGCGGCCCCATGGAACATAGACGCATACTTCTATTAGGGGGTTCATTTAGGGTTTACGTAATGTTATAAAATCCCCCGGCCCCATGGAACATACGCATACTTCTATTAGGGGGTTCGTTTAGGGTTTAATTACATAAGTTATAAAATCCCGCGGCCCCAGGGAACATATACGCATACTTCTATTAGGGGCTTCATTTAGGGTTTACATAAGTTATAAAACCTGGGCTCGCCAAAAAAGTGAAAGAGATTGAAAAAGTGGAAATGGCCGAAACGCGTGAAGTCCGCAGAGGGTTGACTTTTCTGACTGATTTTTCCAAAAATTCGTCTTAGACCACGCTAACCCACAGATGTACCAGAGTCATGAAACACCGCGCCTGCGCAGAGAAATGAGCCTCCCACTGACGTTCATACGACCATTCCGGGACAACCTTCAGTCCTGCCCGTAATTTTTCCTTAAGGGATCCTTGTTTTTGAGGATTCGACACAGGACGCGGGCCATAGGGGCCTCAATTCACCAGCTGTGGTGATGTCTCAGATATGTCTCAGATATGGTCCGCCAGGTCGACCCCGATGCCGAACTGGACTTCGAGGTGGAGCCATGGGTTTTTTTTGGCAGCGAATTGATCCGAAAAAGGTTTTTCACCATGGTCATAGAGGTATATAGAGGTTATATCATGTTGTATCTGTATATGTATGGTTTGTATATGGTTATATCAGTTAATATCAGTTAATATCAGTTATATCCCGACTTCTTGGGCTATTGAAATATATAATTGTGTGATTATTTGTACATGTGATATCAAGAACCACAAGGCACCCCCAGAGACTCCCCGCTGTGCAGATCCACGGCGAGAAGTTCGATGAGAAGGTGCCACCAATTGGGATGCATGAATTTCGAGGGAAAACATCCACAAATCATTGCATATACCCTCTGGTAATTTAACGTAGCTATTGAAAATGACCATCAATAGTCGATTTTCCCATTAAAAATGGTGATTTTCCATAGTTACGTTAGTTTACCAGAGGGTACATATACATATGCCGTATATACATTTACCCTGATTCGTCTACATGTGTATACAAGTTAGAAACGCAGTGAGATACTAAGCCTGATCTTTATGGGGCGGGCTTAGATATGCTCACTGGGCGGCAAGGGGATGATTCACCACTATTTTAGTGACCAAAATATGTGGCTCTTAGATTCATGTTTTAAATTTGAACCATACGCTTCTGAAGAAAAAGAATTGGGATGTGATTTCAAAAAGAAATGGGGTTAAATCATGTTAAATCTAGGATTCAGTTGCTAGCCCTAGATCAAAGCCATTTGTTTATGGTATTCTTCAAATTACCAAATGGTCGAGGCTGAGGACCTGGCAGAGGGGTATCCTTTTCTCAAAATGGTCATGTCCCATGGCCAAGCCATTGGTTGCGTAGATCATCATTGGATCATTACATATATATACTCTCTGGTAAACAAACAAAAAGCTATTGAAAATGGCCCAGTCGGAATAGTTGATTTACCCAGCTAGAAAATGGTGATTTTCCATAGTTATGTTAGTTTACCAAAGGGTGTATATATATATACAGAGAGAGAGAGACATGCATAGTTGTAGACAGATATCATAAATAATATTAATAAAAGCATATATATATATACATATATATATATATATATGATTCACGTAGAAGCAAATTTAGATATCTTATATTACATATATATGTATGTATACACATGTATGTATATAAAAATACACATGTATGTATATAAAAAATACACATGTATGTATATAAAAATACATATGTGCAAAAATATATATATATATCCAAGATTTGCCGCAGTGAAACAACCAGCTCCATGCGTGGTGTGCCGTGATGGGCATCCTGCGAGGCTTACCGAGTCTCGTCCACAGACACCACCCGAGACCAGACTCCGATGGTGCCGAAAGGGGCTGAGCAGTGCCAAATTGCGAATGGTCATCTCAATATTCATTTTATGTATATTATTGTGTATACATGTTTATATTTATGTTTATTGTTATGTTTGTTATTATTGTTATATTTATTTATTTATATAAATATGTCTCAATATTATTCAATATTGATACCAAGTCACCATGGAGTTTTCAATTCGATCCTTGGGACCCCCCGTCCCTCTTCCCGTGCACACTTTTCACCACATCCCGGTGCTGCCAGAGCGAGAACGTCTACGAAGCTCTTCGTGATCCCGATGTGCTCTTACAAGTGGGGCAGCGCAGGGTTCGGGTTCATTAAAACGGTTTACCCTTTGGTAAACATACAAAAAACTATGGAAAATCACTATTTTTGATAGGTTAAAATCAAGTATTTCTATGGGCCATGTTCAATAGCAAACCGTGAAATTGCCAGAGGGTAGGCAGGTGGCGAAAATGCAGGTCGCCCCCGGTCCGATTCCTGCCGGATCTTTGTGCTCTGAATTGATGAGGTCTTGCAGTTGAATGAAGAGCGATTGCTGCGGGAATCCCCTTTGAGGAGCGATCCCGGCCTCGTGGACGTGGGATTGGCATGGGGCATTCACGTGCACGAAACACCTCCATGCACGTCCATGCCAAAAATTCGTTAGTGTCATTCCTTCCAGAAAAAGGATCCCGGTAATTTTATGCCTCAGACCTAGCGCATGAGTGATAAACCCATGATGACTGCGGTCTTTCTGCTCAGTCGTACTCCCCGCAAATTTGTCGCACTATCAAGATGTAACAGCCACCTGCACTTTAAAGCTCCCAGCTGATGGTTTTTCAAACCTCCATGTTTAGGTGATTTTCGATTGATTTTAGGGGATTAAAACCTCCCATAACACAAAACAACTCCATGTACTTCGGTGGATACCAATCCACCTGCTTCCAGGAGATACTTCTACCAAGCGGTGCAACTTTTCGCACGAGCCCTGCAGGGGTGCCCAAGCAGATGGTTAGGAACTGAGTTAGGAACTGAGTTAGGAACTGAGTTAGGAACTGATAGTAAATGTTATTAGTAAATCAAGTGGAATGGATGCCCTTAAATCTACACGAAGGGGGTCAAGGACGAAACTTTAGGCGAAGGACAAACGTTCCCGGAAGCTCCCGGCGGCCCCCAGAAGCTCCCAGAGCTCCCAGAAGATTCCCACAAAGGGGGTTAAGGACGAAAATTTAAGGCTAAGGAGAAAATGTTAAGGCTAAGGACGACAATTTAAGGCTAAGGATGAAATTTTAGAGTCTAAATTTAGACCTAAGGACGAAAATTCAAGGTTAAGGACAATTTTTTATTTAAATTTTAAGGTTAAGGATGAAACTTAGGCTAAGGACGAAACTTTTAGTCTAAGGTCAGCTGTGGAGATAGTTCACCTCAATATAAATTTGTCTTCGTAAATGTAAATGTAATCGTGCATGGCTTTTTCATGGCGACACACGTTGCTATGCGACCCATTAACTACTTTTTTTTTGTCACAATTCTCACTTCAGAATGTATCACGCGTGAGACTTGAGCTCAGCACTCGAGGCTCCGTTCACGGGCGGTGTGGCACGTGGTGATCCATTCTTTTTGGTGCCTGGTACCCAGAAGTTGTTTTGCAGTTGCCTTAGGAAGGACGCGAGACACGTCCGGTCAGAAATGCAGATGTGGCTCAATCTGTTGCAAGCATGTGTTGCTCTGATTGTCTAGCCCGATGCAGCTGTGGTGATTGGTCGTGATTTTGCTCAAGCAGCGGCTTTGGAACAAACCCATGAGACGACAAAACAAGCAGAGCAACATTATCAGGCATGCAATTGGGACCAACATTTCCGTCCCCAACTAAAAAAAATAAAATTTCCAAATCAAGATGCAGCAATGCAACGAAAAAACCAGGCCCAGCCTCGATCAGAATGGAGCCCACGATGAAACTTCACGTCTCTTTGCCAAGTGGTCGGTGTGAAAGTTTTGTGGTGAACCAGTCAGCCGCCGTGTCGGACCTCAAAGCAGCAGTTCAGCAATCATTTGGGCGGTGTTTCCCTCAGGCCGGCCGCGCCCAACGGAACTCTTCTGGTTTAAACAGACCCAGAGGAAATCTGCAGACTTGAAAATGAACAGTGCCTTACTGCTCTTGTAGTGCAGCCGAAGGTCACAACAACCTCTGCAGCGATGGCTTTGTAGTGTGTGCTGGAGGTGGGCGAGTGATGTCATGGGGAGAGAGATATTTTGGTGCTGACAGCTCCGAACTCCAAGATCAGCTCAGAGGTGTCCGGCAAATGTGCGGTACGGAGGCTGCGTTTGCTGTGCTCCTCAAGGACACATCTGTAGTGACATGGGGGCACGTGGGCCTTGGCGGTTGCAGATGCGAACTCCCACACCAGCTAGGGGGGAAGTTCCTGATGCTTGGAGCAGCGTGCGCCAAATCCAGCTTCAGAAGCCCAATGCCAAAGTGAGGGAAGGCGACCAGGCCTTGGCCGCCAAAGATCTCAGACCGCCATCCAAAGTGTGATTTGGCGGGCGGTTGCATCCTCTTGGACCCGAAGGCCGCAGACCAGAGCCTGGGTAAAAAGCTGGGTTCACGATTCTGCCTACGGTGGCATCCAGGGGAAAAGTGTTGCACATGCAGTGGACAAATTGCTGCAATCCTTTGAGAAAAGAAGGGGTGGTGTTTTGCTCTCCCTCGACTATGCCAAATGCTTTGACATGGTCGACCCCTAATTAGGAATCATGTGCCTCCGTCATTTCGGCTGCCCCAATGAAATCCTTTTTGCCCTTCGTCAAGTTTGGGATCAGAACAGATGGCTTTGCTTCAGGCGGGATTGCTTGCCTAATCCTGTGCATGTAACCACATCCATTCCTCAAGGAGACGCTTTTTCCCCGCTCACTCTCCTGGCCCTGCTTACTGGCCTCACAGGCCGGGTGTTGCAAGAAAGAACTGAACCCCACACTCTGGCGACTTGTCTGGACGACAGAAACTTAGTCGCTAAAACGCCCGAAGATGCGGCCAAGCTGTGGCAAACCTGGAAAGAACTTTCGCCTCGTGTGGGGCTTCAAGGGAATGATGCCAAGGTGCAAGTGGTTCCTAGGGCAGCTGACTTCAAACCAAGACTGCTCCAGGCTGGATTCTCTGAGAATCAGATCGCTGACTCTGCACGGGTCTTGGGGGTCGACATCACTGCGCGCCTGAACGCAACTCATCGACCCACAAAGGAAACCCGAATCCAAGAAACACATGCTAGACTTGGGCGCATTGGCTTGTTGCCAGTTTCTGCAGATGTTAAAGCCGCCTTGACTTGTTCTTTGGCCATCCCCAAAGCTGTGTGGGGCCTGTGGCTCACGCCGTTTTCGGCCAAACCTTTATCAACGCGCATCAAAAGAATTTCAGGGGGCCAGCATGTCACATGTTCCACTAACTTGTTTTTCATGCTTGCCGGGCACGGTTTGAATCCCAATTTTGCTGCAGGTTTTGGTGCCTACATCTATTTGGCTGACATTGTGCGGCATCATCCCAGAGCATGGCCAAACACCTCACCCCGAGGCACGTGGCTCGGCACTGTCCGTCAGTGGCTGCTCGGCCTACAATGGCAGGAGCAGGGCGCATGGACATGGGTCCATCCAGAAGTCAACTTTTTCATTGATTGGAATCAACCCATTAGTGCAAAAAGAACATCACGCCTTGAGGGAGACTTGGAGAAGACAGCAGTTTGCACTTTTCATGTCCAGTGGCCGCCGCGATGCCGCTGCGGTGCAAGATAGTATTTACAATGAATCACGTGTCACTTGTGCCCGCAAGATCTTCAGATCTTGCAGCACGCACAGCCGAGCCTGCATGATTGGCGCAGTTGTTTCTGATGCCCATCTTGACAAAATTAACAATCCAGACCATCCTCCAGCGCCGTGCTCAACTGGTGATGTGCCCACCTGGCATCACCTTGCGTGGGAATGCTCTGCTTTTAGAGACACGCGTGGCGCTGTGCCACAAGATCCTTTGCAAAGAGTACTTGGCTGGCCGATTGGCCAAGACCACCAGACTGATGCATCCGTTCTTGAACACTTGGGCAACGTTCGGGAGCGAATGCTTGATCGCCAATATCGCGGCAACTAAGGATTTATTCTTCGGGTGAATGTGTCTACCTGGCCCATTACCTTCCAAAACAAGTTTTCTTTTGTAGCCATTCGTGCTAATGGTGCTGTGGTGATGTGGGGAGATGCCCGCACGGGCGGAGATTGCAGCAGAATCCAAAATGACATTATGTATATCTAGTCTACTTGGCCGGTGCGTTGACGAAAACGCTCGCAGTTGATTTGCATTTGCTTTGTGTGAAGCGTCTGTTTTGTCATCTAAGATGCTTTCATAACTGTGGGAGAAGAGAGATTATGGGCTTCGCATGTAAGCCATGAAGGAAGCCTTCGAATATTTCAATCAGTTAGTTTCAGATAGGGGCCCTCTTGCGGTTTCAAACTGTGAAAATGCATCATGATAAAAATGTTGGATCCTGGCGTGTTTTGGGACGGGCACTCTTCCCAGGACAAACAGAAAGCTATCCTCGCTGAGCTAGACCTTCGTATTCGGCACGATCCATTGTAATTTAGCCGGAAACCCAGCAGTTTGATGCCAGTCGGCATCGCTGGTGAAAATGTCTTTGCTTCTTTCTATATATCCGTGCATAAATTGATGAACCAGTTGCGTAGTGGTACCACTCCCCAACCTCGTCCGTATATATCAGTCCCGCGGCACTACTGCAACATGACCGTACCACAAGCCGTTTCCGTTTCATTCTGTACGCCTCCCGAACCTTTCTCATGCCCTGCCAGGACCTTGCCCGCATCGCTTCTGTGCCTGTTCCGTAGCGCTGGCGTCACATTCCCCCATAACACCCCCCGTGGCACTCCCGTAGGAATCTTGTAGCATTCATGTAACACTCCTGTGCCACTATCGGTCTGGGATAGCAGTCCCGCACCATTGCCAAATAATTCCGGTAATCTTTCCGCAACACTCCAGTTTCGCTTTATAGCACACCCGTCGTACGCCTGATACCCGCAAGGGGTCCGTAGCATTGACGTAGCACGTCCGACAAAGAGCCGTTCACTCTCCGGCCTCCCTGTAGCGCTCATGTACCGCTCCCGTGCCTCTCCCATAGCACTCCGGGAAGACTCCCGGACATCTCCTGTGCCACTTCCATTGCGCTGCCATAGTGACATAGTGCTTCCGTAGCATACCCATGCGACTCCCGTGCAGATTGCGTGGGAGCCTTCTGCGAGCTCTAGGATTTTTACGGGTGTCTCTGGGAGCTCTTGAGAGCTGCTGGGAACTCCCCGGAGAGCTTGGGAGCCTCGGAAGCCTTCTGGGAAACTTGGGCTGGGAACCTCCAAGCCTTCTGGGAACCTCTCAGAACTTTCGTCCTTAGCATTGAGGTTTTGTCCTTAGCCTTGAAGTTTCGTTCGTCTTAACCTTAAAATTTTGTCCTTAGCCTTTAAGTTTCGTTCTTAACCTTAAATTTTCGTCCTTAGCCTGAAAGTTTCGTCCTTATAGCCTTAAAGTTTCGTCCTTAACCTTAAAATTTCGTCCTTAGCCTTAAAATTTCGTCCTTAACCCCCTTCTGGGAGCCTTCTAGGAGCTCTTGGAGCCTGGCGAAAATCCCATTGATTAGAAAATTTTTCGATAAGAAACAAACTACCAAAGAATTTCCACATGGAATGCCACATCATCGAGTTATAATATAATCCTTTTTCCGAACTACAGGCAGTAATATGCACATAATTTAACTTAAAACGAACCAAATGAAACCCAAAAAAGGTTTACAAGAGAGATTTGGTTATATAATATAGTGCTGCCTAAACAAACCAAATCGTGGTTTAAAATTTGCGTTTTTCTTTCGTGGTTGAACCGTTTCCAAGCGTGGTTTGGATTTATAAGTTTAAATCGTGGTGTCGTACCCGGCTCATATACATGATTATATCTATAATTATATGTGTATACATATATAATTATGTAATGTCCGTGTGGTTGAATGACGACATCTACAAATATGATATCAAGTGATGATATCGTCCTATCGTCCCAGTCATCGAAATACCTGGTGGATGATCCAAAAAAATTCATGGTTTATCCCGCTGATCACTGGGGTTAGACTATCACCCCATGGTCCAGTGATGTTTCATGGGATAATCCTACAGAAATAATGAGGAAAT